GTGTGTGTGTGTGTGTGTGTGTGTGTGTGTGTGTGTGTGTGTGTGGCCCCCTAGAATACCGGGCTCCAGCAAATTTTCATCCCCCCTTTTAAAATAGAGGACGTGGGTGTTTTTTTCCCCCCAGGTACCCCCCCCCCCCCCCCCCCACACACACACAGAACCCAACTGTTTTGTGTCCAATGAGACGAATAGACAACCAGATTGCGCTAAATGTAAAGCAGGTTTGCGTGTGTGCAATGTAAAGAACAACACTTAACAATCTGTCAGGGTGCTTGCTGACACCTAAGCTTGCTAAAACCTTTTAAGAGCTTGATAGCAAAAAGCCATGACGCCATTAACCATCAGATAGTACACCATTACTTGGCTTGCAGTAATTTCCAAATTTATGTAAAAAAAGCAGTTTGAAGCTGTGGTATTCAAGATGTCCTTTTCTTTTCTTTCCGCCACTATTCTCCTTTTCTGCATCAATTTATTGACTGTCAGGTTGATGGTTCCGCTGAGCCGCACATCGCTCCGTCTTTGCCTCTCACTTTGTTAATGGTGACCTTGCCTGCGCAGCTTGTTGAGTCTGTGTGTGTCCGTTGTGTGATCGATGTTCTCACCACTTCTGGGAAGCACAATGACTCACTCCTTTCTTCCCGAACATCTCTTTCTATCGCTCCCAGTCTTTGGTCTGCTCTCGTGGGAGCATCCATGTAGCCTGATGGGTCGCAGGTAACAGAATGGTGCTTTTTGATATGTGCTTTGATCTAAGCAGCGTTCTCTGAAGAATAACTGCAGGGACTGTTGGGGAGAGAAAGCAAATAGTCCACCAATTACAGCGCCCCCCATTTATTCAAACCGTTTTATTGTTTCAACACTTCAACACGGATATATATTTGGAGCATATCAATTTGATTTAGCTTTTTTTCACAAAGACGTTAAAATGTTCATGTTTGCTTACATTTCTGATCTCTTCAAAGAGGAATATACCGAAAGTGATCTAGTTAGTCGCAGAGACACAAGTGTGCCTGCAGCTTCTGTTGGCACAAAACCATCAATCAGACGCGCATCAATAATGGAGTGTTGATGTAAATATTTAAAATCTGCTTCCAAAGTCCTTCTGTGACATTTCTTTCCTCCTCCTCCCTGAATGCTACACCTGACTCAGTTCACTTGTTTTGTTTGGAACAAAAAACACCTGCTTCCTCCTTTCCTTTCCTTTCCTCGTGCTCTCCCTCCCTCCCTCTCTCGCTCTCAGCCTCCTTCCTTCCTGCTCACTTTCTCCCCTCGTGACTTCTGCCCTACTCTTAATTTCACACCATTTCTCCGGCCTCTTTTCGGGACGCTTGTCATTTTTCTTGCGGTTTTCTCACGCCAGCGCAGGATATGGAGGGATTGTTTTGTGTTTATGGTAGAATGGGAATGGGAGGGATGTGAACAGAGAGAGAAGGGATGAAGGGAAAGAAGGAGAAAAAGAGGTTGGTGTTTGTCAGTTATCTGATTGTTGAGTTTCAAGGAGTTGGAAGGAGAACAACCTTTGTTTAATGGACTGATGCACAACTGCTTTGTCAGCATATCAGACAAAGCAGTTGTGCAATAATAAGTAAAGAATAAAGAAAGAAATGGATAGAAGCAATATTTTCCTTATTGACAACAAAGACTAGAAGAGACCAACAATGTCTTTTTTAAGCCTGTTTGTTTTGCCGACGTCACAAAAAAAGTTGGGCAATGTAGTTTTTAGTGAGCGTGAATAAACTTCAGTAATGTAGGGAAGTATTTTGCAGGAGATTTACATTTACATTTAAAAGTCAGGAGTCGGGGGTCAGCAGGATTGAATAGAGCGCTCATGTTCATGGTAATAAATGAACTCGTCACAGTGCAGCAACGTGACTCATCGAAGTGTTTTTAATATATTCTGGCCAATGATGGAGGTCTACGGCATAAAGGGAAATATAATAAAGTCTTTGGATACAGACATTTAAAAGTAGGATCGATTCATTGTTGTTTGGTTTGATGTGTGTTGAGCTTTCGCATGTTGGATTGTTCGTGTGATGCTACAGAGCATAATCTTGCCTGTGATTTTAACATCTTTTCACACAACGCAATTTCAAAAAGTCTCCACGCACTCAATCAAGTTTGGTCTAATCTAAAAATTATATTAAAATGATATAAAATAAAGCACAAAGAAGTGGATACGAATGGAAAATTTGTACTCATTAGTCACAATCCAAGCTCCATGTGTGTGTGTGTGTGTGTGTGTGTGTGTGTGTGTGTGTGTGTGTGTGTGTGTGTGTGTGTGTGTGTGTGTGTGCGTGTGCGCGTGCGCGTGCGCGCGGAGGAAGTGTCCAGGGTAAAATGAGCACTTTGATGATAGATGGAGCAGATTGTACATTTTTCTTTCCCACGATCAATCAACAACAATCATTGCCGTCTGCCGGGTTAAATAATAACCTTTTCCGTCGGTCTCTCCATCTTTCCGGCTGTCCGTCTCTTTCTGTTTCCTCCCTCCTCGTCTCGCCTCATCCTCTCCCCTTCTTTTTCACATGTCTTTTATCTTCTTTCTCACACTCCTTTCTCTCTCAACTCCACTCATTTATTTTTCTCTCTTTCTGAAATACTTCCTGAGTCTTGATTCTCTCAGTATTGTTCCCTCAGAGTGTGTATGTGTGTGTGTGTGTGTGTGCGTGTGGTGTGTACCTACAGTACTAGGAGAGTGTGGGAAATCAGCTATTATGGTAGATACGTCTGTGTCTGTGTGTGGGAACAGAGACATGTCCTTATTTACTAACAGTGGTTTTTTTCTGTATCGTGTGTGTGTGTTTGTTTGGGGGGGGGGGCTGTGAAACTGTTTAATAGAATTAGTTTTCCTGTTTTGATGTTGACAGACCTACAAACCGATTCCTGTCTGCTGCTTTGTCTCCTGTTTTTATGGCTGTGCCACTATTTCAACAGGTATTGTGTGTTTGTGTGTGTGCCTTTTGTGTGTGAAGGCTGTAAATGTGCAACTACGGCCTTAATTTTCCGCAGACGTTCATGTACTGCTTTGTGCGCCCGTGTGTAGGACCGACAGCAAGGGGGAATAAAAATAAACCGAGGGAAACAAAGTTTTCCTCCGCTTGAACAAACCCCACAACAGGAAGCCCTGTATGAATGACGCGTCCATATTAGGAGCCAGGAAGTGAAGGTGATGGAGTCTCCGTGGTGACAGGGGGTCTGTGGGTCTGGTCACCACAGGGACAGGGGTCAGCCCTTGTTTATGGCCCGCTCATGAGAAACACAGAGGTCGGCGGTTGTACAGGACCCGTGAAGTTTGAGCGAGGTGCAAAGCGACACAATGGTAGTCGACGCACACCACGTATTCACGTCATTGCTCTCGCACCACGTTTCCTGTCCTTTCTCCACTGGCGACTAACGAATACGGGCATATTAATCTTTCAATTAAAGTTAAACTTTCCCCGGCATGTTTAGTTCTGTTGTAGTACACTTCATACACGTGTTTTCCTGCAGCCATACATTTCAGTTCTAACACTTGAAGTAATGCTGCGCGTCCACGTTTCATCCAGGCCAGACGCAGTAATGTAGTTTCCATGTTTTCAATGACCCACAATTGCATGACCGCCCCCTAAGTTTGACGGTCAAACCTCATTTTAACAGCTGCGGAAAATAAAAAAGAGATATCTGGAGTCGTGATGTAGCAATGTTTTTTTGGGGGAAATCCGACTGCGAGAGGTTTACAGAGGATGATTCATCAACAGCGATGAAAACATGAACATCATCATGAGTGCAGCAGGGAGGACAGCAGCATTTTGTCAACAAACAAACTCCCCTAAAAACAGCTCCATCAGCATCATATCCACTGTGTGGAGCCAATCCAGATTACCCTGAATTTACCAACCAAATGAGCATCTCATTCTGGAAGCAGCGCCTCAGTGACCAGTTAAATTGTCCCGACTCACGCCTCAGACGCTGAACTCCAAAACAGATTTCAAAGGGCCATCTAAGGACCTCCCACTCCATCCCCTCTGTTCTTCCATCTTTCCTGTTTACTGAGGAATCATATATCAGTTAATTGATCTACTGCACTCTTGATGTAATAAAATATGCGTTATGGTTGGAAATTCTCTCTGAATTTCTCTCAACTTCCTTTGTTGGCTTTTTGCCCCTTTGTTTGAGGAGTTATTTAACAATGTATTTCTTAATACATTAATGTATTTCTCAAACTTGCTCAGAGCTATTAAGCCAACTTATGGTGCCATAGCTTCAAACTTGATGTGGAAATATCAGCAGTGGGACGGACATAAGTAGATATTTTCATTACTGTCTGACGTGTCTCCGTATTGAAGGGATAGTGTGGCATCCAAATGGCACTTAATGGATTTGTCCTTTCTTATATTGAGCCGCATTGAGCTACAGTGAGACTGTGATGAAGTCCTGATTTAATTATATGTATCTACTATATACTGTCTGTTTCCTCCATCTTCATCTGCCTCCTCTTCCTGTGGGCAGTGAACTCATGGGTCCAACGGCGTAGTCTGTAATTGTAATTTTGTTATTTCCTTGCGGTGATGATGCATGTCTGTGTAATGCCTCTGGTCTCAATATGCAATGATTGACTTTTATTGGTATGAAAAACTAATGGAGGCAAGGCTGTTATAATCTGCAGTAATCTTTACGTACAATAACAATATTATTTTCAGTGTGTTCAGAATGTTTTGATCACGAGTCAGAGTACAAAAAAAAAGAATAACTTGTTTGCAGTTTCAAATGAATCAAATGCATAGCCGTGTTTTTTTTATAACATACAAATATGGAGTGTATTTCAAACCAAACAAACCAAAAACCTCTCACTCCTTCCAGATGCTATTGCACCCCCTGGTGGAGGGTAGAAGAACTCCACGGTCAATTCTGTTTATCGGTTCTGTATCTGTGAGCGTCTGTCTCGATGCGGACGATAATCAAAGAGCTCGCGCCGTCGACATCGCTGTTTACAACACGCACATGCGTCCGTCTGTGTGCAGGCCTCCCGGAGCAGTACTACAGTCTGACGTGGTTCCTCAGTCCGGTGCTCGGACTCTTCTTCACTCCTCTGATCGGCTCGGCCAGTGACCGCTGCACTCTGCGATGGGGCAGGAGGAGGCCGTTCATCCTGGCTCTCTGCATTGGGACGCTGATAGGAGTGGCACTGTTTCTCAATGGATCGCTGATCGGTGAGTGTTTATTATTTGATGTTTGTAGTCTGTGTGAGAACGGGAACTGAGAGAGGGCAGTTATTTATTTATTTAAATTTTATATTCTGAGATGTTTGGTCAGCTGCAGACATGTTGTAAGAACTAAATGTTCCTTTAGTATTTTTTCAGAGGGAAAAGCTTGCAGTGCGTCCAGATTTCACAAAAAGCAAATTGATAAATAACTAAATTCTCCAATAATTTACTGAGATTACTTTAAAGGGGTTACCTCATCAAATATTTAAATTACAGATTAATTGTGAAAATGTACTGTTAATGTTTTCACAATAATTTACATTTTACTTGATTATTTTTACTTTTATATATTATTACCACTCTAAAAGAACAAGCTGGGGGAGCAATATACAGATGTAATATCTCTAAATACAAACACGTGTGTCTATAAATGAAAGAAACATGGCCGTGCTTTATGACATCTCCTGAGCGCTGTTATCTAAACCTCTTGAGACCCTCACAGCCTCAGTGGGAATTGAACCCCAAACTCTGATGGTGCAGACACTGTTGTTTTGCCCGTCATGCATGAGTGCCACAGAGGAACTGAGAGGACGCGACAGCTTCTTTTAGCAGCACTTGCCGAAAGCTTTTCCCCGCTGGGCCGTGTCTCTCCCGAGAGACCGGCGTCATCCTCAGTCTGACCCTCGGCTCATTACGTCACCCAAACGTCAAGGACGCGAAAACAACCGATTTATCAATTATGCCAAGCAGCTATTGATCTCTGGGTCAACTTCATCTCCATTATTCCAGTTCTCATGTTATTAACCATATCTGTCAAACTCCCACGCACAGACCGCAGCAGTGTGAGGTTTGTGTCGTCCGCGTACCGCTAATTGCATTGATGGTGACAAACCCTCTTGTAAAGATTGAGTAATTGTGTTAGAAATTTGAACATATTGTTTGAAAGAGAAGAGAAAAATCCAGTGACCACCAACTAAACTCTGTACACTGTACAGTGGTTTTAACACTCTTTACAGCTTTCACTTCATTTTTGTTCCAGTTATTTATTTCAGCCTCATGGAATAAAACAGAATGCAATTAAGTCCTTCCCACACTGGAGCTGGAAACCTCGCTCTCCATTTTATTGCCCAAAGGTGCCTCCATGTCAATAGCACAGCCTGCCTACTCATAGCTAAATATTAGCTTGCTAACAGCTAACTCTGTCATCATCCATCATCATATTAGTTAACAGCTGCATCCCGACTAGTCAACAATTACTATGATGATGAATAGCTCTAAAAATCAGCAGCCTTTTTTTAGAAATAGCAGAATTAATTAACAGTATAAGAAACACAAGCAATGGCTTCAAATAACCTGCAAATACTGCAAAGAAGGATGTTATTCTAATTTGGTTTCTTTGCAAAAGAAGAAGTAGTGTCTTTGGTTACCTCCGTAGTATTTCCCTCAACAGTTGGTTGATGTTATCAGTTGTCAAATCAATCAAATTCAAACAATAGCCAACTTTAAATGTCTGCAAATAAAACAAGTGTAATTAATTGTTTATTAATAACAAGAGCGAGAGCTGTGTGAAGCGTTTTATATCAGCAGATTCTATTCCGTTCCAGCCCCGTTCTTCTGCACAAAGGTTGGCTCTCAGGTTGTCTCAGGGCAACACACGCGTGTGTGTGTGTGTGTGTGTGCGTGTGCGTGTGCGTGTGCGTGCGTGCGTGCGTGCGTGCGTGCGTGCGCAAGAGCATCTTGGGAAAACATGGGAACAGTAAACTGTATGGGAGGGATGGAAGATTAGGAGAGAGAACCTGTATGTTTCCATGGTTATGTATATATGAAATATACGTGTGTTAACAGACATGGGAAAACTGTAGTAACCTGTAATGAGTGTGTGTGTGTGTGTGTGTGTGTGTGTGTGTGTGTGTTGATATGGGAACACAGGCGTAGGCAGTTCACAGGGAAATGCTTCCTGTTTGCTTCCCCCTTTTCACCAATCACAATTCACTTCCTGTCCGTCTGCCTGGCTCTAGTGAGTAGTGCGGCTCCATTGTCCAACACGCATACACACACACACGCACACGCTCACACACTGCAGTTCTTTCGATGAACATTTGTTTACCGACATTGATGGATTTCATTGCAAAGTCATGCTGCGTCACTCACTCACACACCCACACACACCCACACACACACACACACACACACACGTGTGTTGTGTTGTCTCACACAGGCCGTCATACGCAAATACACATTGAGCCTCCGGGTCTCAAATTTAATTTGCCAAATGTAAATGTACATATATGTAGACTTTTTGTTCAATTTCTCTTGATGTTTATTGGCCTTTTTTAAACATTTATTGCATCATACAGATTTAGGACAGATTTTCCCTTTTAAAATAAGTTTCAGATTTCCTTCTTAATGGTGGCAGATATCTCAAAATCTTGATTCAAAAGTTAAACTAGGGTTTAGGATTAAATATACCAACTTATACAAGTGATCATTTTCATAAAAAAGCTCCTATTACTAACTCATGACCTTAACGATCGATGAGGCGGCTTTTATTGTTGTCAGTTCACTGCATAATGACAGCAAAGATGTTTTTTTACAATCAAAACTGTCTGTGTATTTGTCCATTAGGTCTGGCAATGGGTGACGAGCAGGGGAGACAACCAATCGGAATCGTTCTCACTGTGCTGGGAGTGGTAGTGCTGGACTTTAGTGCAGACGCAATGGAGGGACCAATCAAAGCCTACCTCCTAGATGTGGCGGACCCGGAGGAACAAGACATGGCGCTCAACATCCACGCTGCCTCAGCAGGTGACCCTCCTGATCTCTGACTCACTTTCTCAGGATTTTAATATGACAATAGCAGGTTGAAGTGAAGTGGTTGGAATTGACACAAATTTGACACAAACGAACACCCAGAGACAAAAATACATCTCCTCATGTTGTGTCTGTACGTCTAAACCTTTGCCCACGCGTGCAGGTCTCGGCGGTGCGGTCGGCTACGCGCTCGGGGGTTTGGACTGGACACACACCTTCCTCGGGGCGGCCTTCAAGTCGCAGGAGCAGATCCTGTTCTTCTTCGCTGCCATCCTCTTCTCCGCCTCTGTGGTGTTGCATCTCTTCAGCATTGACGAGCAGTCCTATTTATCCCAGCATGACAGATTGGATCAGGTACAGTGTGTCGGATTTTTCAATCTGAAACAAAATTGTAGTTTTTTTTTTTTTAAATACAACAACCCTAAGACTCTGCTTTTCTTTCCTCACCAGGAGAGTCCGGATCGCACCAAACTGCAACCATCAGCCAACGGCAGGACCGGACTTCTCGGCCCTAAGCTCGAACTGATCGGAGAGGATGAAACGATGGACCGCTACGACATCTATAACCAATATGGAGACAACTTTTCAGAGCACGAGGATATGGACATGGACTTCCTCGAGATGGAGCTTGTAAGAAGTAAGTTTGTAGACCCCGGCTTCTTTTGCTGTTTTACCCCAAATTTGTAAGAGTAAATCAGTGCTTGGAGGGTTATATCTGGTTTATAGATAAATATACAAGTAAAAACACAAGGGTTAATTTAATTCAATATTTGCTCCTTGGTGTTAGAATACATAAAACTTCACTTCTTTGGAACCATCTAAACTAACCTCTCTTTGTCCGTCTCCAGGTAAAAGTGACAGTGTTCTCGCCATGGCAGACGCCACCCTCGACCACATGGACCACGACGCGTTTTACCTGTGCCACTTGGAGCCGTCCATCTTTGCCGACCGCCTCTCCCCCTACCACGGCTCGCCTCCCCCGACCGGTAACCTCTTCAAAGCGAGCCGCGGCACTCCGCCGCCGCGGTTTGGCAACCTCAGACGCAGCAGCAGTGCAGGGAGTCAGGACCCGCTCCACGCCAGCCACCACCAAAAGCACTCCACCAGCCCCAGAATCTCCCGCCTCTCAGCTTTCTTACAGGAAATGGAAAATGACGATGGCGAGGAGGCGTTGCTGAACAACCAGCTCAATGAGCAGCGGACGCTGAACGGACGGCTGTTGGCCGGTGTGAATAATCATGACGTGGCCAGCAGCGACCGGCTGAGCTCTAAAGGACGGGCTCATCGTGCTGGAATGGTCAAAGGTTGGTAGTTTCATGTCATCTTTCACTTTCCCGTTTCTTGAATAAATAATATTATTGAAAATCGTAATAATTACTTATAGAATAATAAACCATCGCTTAATATGTATATTTTAGATTATATATCTATATTTCATATTCCAGCTGCCAGTACTGGAGCCCCCATGCGGCAGTCACGTCACCGTCCCATCTTCTACCGCCAGCCGTCCTGCACCTTCTCCTACTACGGTCGAGTGGGGAGCCATCGCCACCGCTACCGCCAGCCCACCGGCGCCTATCTTATCAAGCCGTCGCGCAGCATGAACGACCTGTGCGACGTGGAGGCCCGACACAGGAGGAGGCAGAGGCAGAGAAAAAGACACCGCAGCGGAAACACGAACTCCTCCAGCGGGGACACGGAGAGCGAAGAGGGAGAGGTGAGGAGGAGCTGACGAAGCTTTTGACCGCGATGACTCTTGCACCCATTTCTTTCTTTCTGATTTGTAAAGTGTGTCTTTCTGGGTGGGTGTTGTCTGACCCTGTCTCCTGTCATCAGGTTGAGACCACAGTGCGGCTGCTGTGGCTCTCCATGCTGAAGATGCCTCCGGAGCTGCTCCGACTGTGCGCCTGTCACCTGCTCACCTGGTTCTCCATCATTGCTGAGGCGGTCTTCTTTACCGACTTCATGGGTCAAGTCATCTACCATGGAGATCCTACCGTACGTGAAACCGCCGCTAAACATGCACACGATTACTTTTGGTCATGTTCCTTTTTGTATCTCGCTCAGATTTGGTCATTTCAAACAGTCTACAGCAGGTTCAAGCTGTTTTTTCTTCTCTCTCAGGCTCCTCTTAACTCTACTTTGTTGGAGGATTATCACAAAGGTGTTCAGATGGGATGTTGGGGACTGGTTATATATGCCATGACTGCTGCTACTTGCTCAGGTAACGCGAGGTCATAGGAATGCATGTGGACCCATGCACACACACACCTCCATGTTGGGTCGCCAAATGTCTTTAGCCAACAGTGTGTGGGATTCAGTGGCATCAAGCTGTTAGGTTGTCGTTCTACTGAACACCTCCTCCACTTGCCCTTTCCTTCCCGAGTGTGTGCGAAAACATCCACGGCTCATGACAAATGTCTCATTCTAAGCTAACAAAGACTCAAAGATGCTTAGTCTTGGGGAATAATACTCTAATAAATACTTAGTTATGATATAATGTCTGCCCATAAATCCTCCCTGATCATATACACTGGTCCTTTAGATGAAAAGTGATCTTTTGTTTTATTTTCAAAGTTGAACTCGGTTTAACCAGTAAACTAATCTACCTTCTCCAGCTATCCTTCAGAAGTACCTCGACAACTTTGACTTGAGCATTAAGGTCATCTACATCGTGGGAACGCTTGCATTTTCCATAGGTATGAGCCACAGTACAGTAACAGAATAAACACAATACATGAGTGAGTACCTGCTAAATTATGTTTCCATTTCCTTTATTTCCTTTCTTAGGAACGGCTGTAATGGCAATCTTTCCTAACGTGTATGTTTCCATGGTGATGATCAGCAGCATGGGCATAATCTCCATGAGTATCTCCTATTGTCCTTATGCTCTGCTGGGACAGTATCATGAAATGAAAGAGGTACGGACACATTCAACTTGAAAGCGCTTCTGTTTACATTAATATGTAATATTAACCAGCCCAGGGACTGCAGATGAAAAATGTTGGTAAACTAATGTGTTCTGTAGACAGATACGGTAAAAGGATTAGATGACATTTTATATTTTTTTATTATTTTGTATAACTGATGTGTATAGATATTTTATTTTATATGTAGCTTTTCATTAACTGTGACTCCTCTTTGCAGTACATCCGGCACAGTCCCGGTAACTCCCGTAGGGGCTTTGGCATCGACTGTGCCATCTTATCCTGCCAGGTGAGGGAAATTGTCATAATTAAATCTCTATTTGTTCAAAAATACAGTCTACAAAAAGTGTTTAATTGAATCACTTGTCATTTTGCAGGTGTACATAAGTCAGATCTTGGTGGCCTTGGCGCTGGGTGCTGTCGTGGAGGCTGTTGGCAGCGTTCGTGTCATTCCCATGGTGGCCTCTGGGGGCTCCCTCCTCGGATTCTTCACCGCCCTCTTCCTGGTCATCTACCCGACTCCAAACAGCGGGTGAGTTCTGCTCTTTCGCTGTCTTTAAAGTAAGTTATGCATGTCGCGAAATACACTCAGAGTCGACCCGTTCTCATGTCATTGCAGTAAATATGAACCTGCAGGCAGCAGCTGATTAGCTTAGCATAGCATAGCATAGCATAAGACTGGATAATTGGTGGGAACCTGTCCGTCAGAAAGTAACACAAAACCAGCAGTAGTTATTACTAGTGAGTATTTATGCTTAGCTAACTGGCTCTTGGCAGGAAAGCAAATAAAGAATACTTCCCTGATTGCTAAACTGTTCCTCTGGTGCCCCAAAACACAGTCCTAACAGTTTGGATTTTAATTGTGATTGACAGGGACGGGGAGTCGGCCAAAGCCTCGAAACGGTCCCTGACCAAACTTGAAAATCACAACAGCAACAAACTGGCCGTTACGTTGGTGAAAGAGAAACCCAGCTTCCTGAAACTCAACAAGAAGGGCAAGGCCACCTCCACCACCATCACCACCACCACCGCTTCCTGTCACATGGAGAACGAGTCTGCTCTCTGATTGGCCGGCTGAATGCGATCGACGAGTTGCTGCAGAAACCACAAAATTCACGGGAAAAAGATGCCACTGGAATTCGTTTTGGGTATTGGCGTCCACGTGGTGCTGGAGTTCACAGACGCGATGAAGAGAGAGGTGTTGGGTGCGCTCTTGCTGTCTCTGCTTTTATTTTTGATTGAAAACAACCACATCTTCCCTGAGACCAGTGTCACACCAGGCCAACAAAGCATCCTGGTCCCAGTGCTGCTCCGGCCATCACATAAATTCCTTAATCTGATCCGTCAGGGTTTTTAAGGAGAGGTTGTCTCTGTCTCAGGGCCTCTAGGAGGTGCTAGTGAGCAGCTGCACGAGAACATTCAGGGGACTTGCACACATACATACACGCACACACACCTCCGCACCTGGGGTCAACACAATCGAATGAACACATCAACGCGGAACGTTGTTGATGAACATTAGTCCTTGAAGCTGCTATCATTAAAAAGATGCTGAAAATTGTTCTTCCTCGGAAACTGGCTGGATCGAATCTGCTGTGATGACGTCGAACAAGATCGACGGGAGGGTTTGTGAGTGTGTGTCTGCCGACGTGTTCACCAAAATAAACTCAATCACACGCTCTGGGTTGCGGGACTACTTTCAGCATTGTGCAACAGTAGCTTTAAGACTGCAGAGACTTCTGCGGGAGGCATTTCTGGAACCAACAGCCCGCAGCCCGCTTCTGGGTTCTTTAATCACTCTTTAATCCCCGAATGGAATGCAAGTGTGTGTGTGATTTCGCCCTCCTCCAGATGGAAGGAGTGCTAAAATTCTTATTATAGCCTTCCCTCCAGGGGAAAGTTGACTCCAGGCTCTTCTCCGAAGTGACCTGTGATTTGCCGGTTTAGAAGGAGGATGTGTATTGAGTGAAATTCCAGGAAAAAAAACGTGCAGGTGCAATATGTGCAGTATACAGGGCATTACGATCCCAAATATTATTGTCATGATTTATTGAGCGCCCAGAATGATGCTTGTTTTAGAATATTCTGGACCGACCTATGCTGCATGATAGAGAAGCAGAGAAGAGACAAACCAAACCACAGAGAAAAAGAGGAAAGACGTGTGGATTTCTCCCTCTCTCTCTCTGCTTTCTTGCTTAATCTTTTTGAGAATGCTGTTAACACAATGTTTGTTACTAACTACACATTAGTCGAGCCATTGTTTGAAATTGCGTTAAACTGCATCCGGTAAGAGAAGCCTATTTGGGAGGTTGGACGCATCTTTAGCACACAAGCAGGATGCTCCTCATCTGTTGGGTGAAAGTGGATCCAGTTACTCTACCACTAATCGCTGGAATCTGGAAGTGGACACAAGAATATCCGTGTGAGTCCTGGATGTATTAAAGCGAAAAAATATTTAATGTAAGAGAGGCAAAACATGTCACTCGAGTTCCGGCTTGTTATGTGAGTCTTTGTGGAGGATTTCCGCTCCTGGTCCAGGTGTCTTGGTTCCACTGTACTGGGCCAAATATGAGTATAATATAGTATTTTAGACTACATCTGTGTTTTACGCTGAATGTATATTTTGAAAGGATAGAGGGATGACATGAGTTAAGGTGAAATGGGAAAATAATGAGCATACAGACATGAAAGTGTTATTGATCTGTGTATTCCCAAAATGCAGAACCGTTCTTTTAAATATTTGAGCTCAAGCAAAACGTCAACTTTGAAAAAAAAAAAGAAGAAGATTTGATTCATTCATTTGATCCCTAAAAGACAATGGAATCATATTGACCTTTGACTCCAGACAGACTTAAACTTGAGTAAAATGCAAAAATACACCTACAAAATATCAAGAATAAGTGACCAAACTACAAACACTTTAGGGCAACGACCAGAATTGATCTTTCTTCTGAAGGACAGCTTCAGTTTGTTTCTTCTGGTGAGGTGAGAGATGCTTCTCCATCCTGCGGCTGCTGTTTTAAGACATGATGGTTGATTATGGAAGTAAAACCTTTAAGTTAAGCTTTGCTTTTTAAAATGAACACACACTTATGACACTAATGTGATAACTACAAAAACATTAAATTAAAACATCATGCAAGTTGTACGAATCCAAACTAAACTGTTATTAATACTTAATGATTTTGATTGTAGACCAAAAAAGGCATATTGATCATGGAATGTTTAATTGCTGACAATGCTGAACGTTTAAGTGAGTTGCAGTGAGACAAAAAGAAATGATTTAATATTGTATTATATCTTTTGTTTTCTGATAAGTCAGTTGCAATAATAGCCTCTGTAAAGCAGCTGGAAGAGGACTGTGTGAGGGTGGTGGGGACATCATCTGTCAGGGTGAAAGGCTGTGGATTTGGGTCAGTTCTCCTTGTAGCTCAATCAGCTGAAACATGAAAATTGTAAATTGCAGTGACTTCATTTACAGCATTTAACAGATAATCCTATTTATATTTTTGATTTTTAGCAGAAAATGTTCCCACCAATGATGTGGTTTCTCTTGTTTTGTTTAATCCTGTTTCTAACAGAATAGATTCCTTCCACAATTTCAGGTACATTCATTCAGAGAGAGAGCGAGCGTGTTTTACTTCCTGGGGCGACCCTGCTCTGGCCGTGGTGCTGGCACAGGATCTGAATATGATAAAAGACAGAAGAGTTTTAAAATACACGGCAATAATACAGTCTGGATCAAATGATGTACCCCCAACGTTAGTTAAAAGACGAACATGAATATTTGAAAAGGCTTTGGCTTTGGGAGGCTTGCATGTGACAACAGCAATATGCATGTGTGGAACACACCAAAGTATGACTTTGTACAAATCACTCCAGCTCTTTGCTGTCCTAACAGGGCGGGGATGTCTTTTCTAATGCATGACTGGATGTTTGTATCCACCTGTTTGAACCTAAATGTGTAAACATAAACCAACACGGTTACTATTTAAGCTAAAACATTGCGCTCTCTCTGGGTCAGTACACGCTCAACAAGCATGTGGCTTTCAAAGCGTTTGCACATTTATTAAGAGTGACGTTTGAGACGGCACGCATCTTGTTTGCTTTAAACGCAGCGCCCGTGTGGCCCGAAGACGAGATTTGCGTCGTCTCCCCGAGCAACGCTCCGTGTTAAAAGTGTAGGTGGGAAACTCTAGGCCTCGAATACTTGAAGTGCAACTTGAGTGTTTTCTTTTTCAATACAGTGGTTAGTTTTTTCTTCTTTTTCTTAGTGTCCCAAGCCTTTTATTTACCGCAGACTCTGGAATGTTCAGACGGCAGCGCGTCCTGCTGGGAAATTTGAGTTCTTACCATCGATTCCATCTTGTGACTTAAATGTTTAAAACACGGTCAATGAATGTGAAGTGATTTCAGCCGAAATAATTTTAGTTTTGATGTTTGACGCCTGACATTGCACAGAACTTGCACATTATAAGTAGAAAAAACTAAGAAGAGTAGAAGTGTGTTGCATAAGGAGAAAGAAGAGTGGATATTTATTTTTTAGAAATGTCCGTAAGAGAAATTTCACCTAGTTTTCAATCAGTTAAAGCTATTTTAATTGCTGTTACAGGAGATGTTACGGAAGCAGACTGGAGTCTTTGTGTCTTGTGTCTTTGTGTGCGTGCATGTTTGCAGTCGTCTCACATCTGCTAACATGAAACGCGAGTGGCGTTAGTGTGTTAAAAATGTCATCTCAGTGTTAGTTTTGGTCTCTGTTCTCTTTGCAATCACCTGGTTTACACTTAACTCCAGAATCGATGGCTGCAATACCTGAGCTTATTCACGCGTCTTTATTTACTCTTAGAAAATGTATTTTTTTAATTCTGAAGGTGGCTATACCACATGAGAGTTTGGCCTTTGCACTTTTTCAGTGGCAGCCATGTTGGCTCCACGGTCCTGGTCATTGAATGAATGTGGCGGCGCCGTGATGACGTTGTCAGGGACGGCAGCAGCAGCGTGGCGGAGAGGCCGTCGGTCCAACGCGGCCCGTCTCAGTGTGTGCGCATGTGTGTGGCTGCCTCTGGTAAACTGTTTGTTTACGACCGTGGAGAGAGATGCCTAATATACTTTGATCCTCACAGAGATTAAATCAAGAAAAATACCTAAAGAATGGGAAAGCAAAGTATGCGCAGTGTACTATATATATATATATACATATAAATATATATACATGCCTTGTCATTTGAAAAATAAGATGTATATATGCATATTTTTCTTTTAGTTTCTTCTTTTTTGCTGCTATAAAAAAAGATGATTATTTTTGTTAGTAGTTTTGTTTTCTATATAAAGACTGTATATATCTCTATGTTCTGTAAATACGCTTGAGCCTGTAGGACTCTGGATGAACACTGTATGGAACGCACCTTTAAAATCGGTTCAGTTAAACCTAAAAAAAGACTCTTGTCATTACTCAAGGATTTAAAGAGGACTTACGGTTCAGCAAAGTACTTGAAGCATGTGATTACAAGCTCCACCCGTATTCTTGAAAATAGGGAACTAAATTATGATCACATCACACACAGTCTGACTTACTGACAGTCACAGCAAAGATTACATCACAGATCCACAATTCCTTCAGCAAAATGAACAATTATTCATAAGGGAAAATATGTGGTCTGATTGATGGCGCTCTGCATGATTTAAATCAATGTTTTACAGAGGATTTAGATATGACAGCATGCAGATGTTCAGAAGGATGGAAATAATGACAGAAATGTTCCAAAGAATTAATTACCGCTTTGCGATAAATAGTCAGTAATCCCAGTGATTTACTGACAAATCTGAACAATGCAGTTGACCGTTTCACTCATTGTATTATTGTACGGAGCTGATGCAGGAATTATTCATCCTATGAAATAACGGAAGAGTAAGGCAGCCGTATGGTGAGCAAAGATAAAAGTTTAATCAAAAGTCTCAGTTGTCGTGGGCGTCATTCAAAATAGATTAAATAGAAGGGGTTGCATAATAAACTCTTGCATTTCATTGCAATGGAGAGTTTGAGGTGTAGATGTCCATTTGCATGTGACCGCTGGTGAAGTAACCCGCTTGTCTGCAGTTTCAAGAAGTAAAACATCTTTGCTCAGCATCTGCGAAGCCTGAAAAGAGCCAACCCGGTTTCCCATGATGCCGTGTGGTCAGACTGCTGAGAAAGGAAGGGGGGGGGGGGGCGTCAGTCAACTTTGTTCCTGCGGAATCCGTTTTCGCTTCCCACTCAGGGGTCACAGGCTCGCTGTCTTTCCATACAGAGACACCAGAGAAGGAACCTGAAACGCGTGTGTGTGTGTGTGTGTGTGTGTGTGAGTCATGTACTTATGCAGAGGTATAACGTTACAACTCCAGAACATCACGCTAAGTGAACTGCAATGACCTGCTGCCCCTGTAGAAGGATTAAAGGGACATAACACTCACTTTAATGACTGAACAGCTGTTCTCTAATATGTCATCTTTAAAAACGCAATATGTTTGGTAAATAATCTGAATAACATTTAGTTGAAAATGTCCCTATTTGAGTTAATGACAATATCTATGATAATATTTTCAAGTCCATTGTGGGACAAAATATACTTGCAATTTACAACATACACAGATTTGACAGGTCATTTTTTATATATTATCCTGAAGAAACTACGTGTGTCTGAGTATAAATATCTTAAGGTATTTACAATTGATTTGTTTCCTATAGGTTAATGTTCTTTCAACTTGTTTCAACAAAACTGTTACATAACATCCAAGTGAGGCGGTGCTGTGGGGAGACACTGTCCTCTGGTGGAGCAGAGGACAGTTTTTCACATATTTAGCTGTAAATGTACACCGTATTGACTGCGGTGATATTATGTTGTTTACATGGGTTTATAATGAACAAAAACTTAACATTTAACAACTTAACCCATAGCAAATCATCCCATTAATTATACGTAGGAAGAGACATTGTTAATGTAAACACAGAGGGAAAAAAGAAAAGAAAAACAAAACACAAATGGTTGTTCTGCTGCATTAGACAGTTTATCAGTGTAAAGTCACTGTGTTGCTTTCATTCCTTTGACTGTGTCCATTGTTTTTCCACCGTCTGTGATGACATTCAGACACTTGTAAGATGATAAACAAAGAAAGCTTCACTCTGTACTTGAGAAACTGTGTTTACACATTCAAAAGGAGCTTTGCTTCTAGCTCATTCAATGTTTTGACCATGACTCTCTCCCATTGTTGGACCCCAGCGCTTTTCATTCCATCGCACCGCACTTTAGTGTCGTTGACGTAATAGTTAGCGTAAATGTTTCTAACCATCTAACTCCTGACGCATCTATCAATGGCAAAACATTACCAACACCTACACGTTTATGGCTCAGTTCCTCTCGATTGCATTTGGTTTAACAAGTGCATCCTATAGTTTCATAATAAGCCATTCCACATGTTTGCAGACTAAACAGCAATTCTAGATCTTTCAATATTTTGTATTGCTGTTTCAAGGTAACATTTCCCCCTGTTTGATGACGCACGCGGTCTCTCTAACAGTACAAAGCTCCTCGCTTTCACAGCAAACCCATCGATTTGTGGTCCAGTGTTCGTTTTCGCACAGGACAAACCAGTCGGAGAAGACAAGGGGATTGGGGGATAAAGGGGAGAATGGAGAGAGGCGGCTTCTGAAGGGATGGTTGCCCCATAATGAGAAATCAGCGCTGTCTAGTTTTCTTTTAAACCTCCTTTTGATAATTTAGTTTGTTCTTTTTTCGGCCTCAGAATCTCTCTCTCAATCTCTTTATCCGTCAATCTGTGTGAGTCGAATGTTCCATGTCAGCGGCGGAAAGGGGAGAACCTGAGAGAGTGATTGTGGCCACACTGTGCGCTATTGCCAGTGCCGTGCCCGGGCATTTGTTCACTGAATTCCTCTCCCCTTCTTCCCCGCTGGCGTGACCGGCCTCCACGCCCCCCTCCCTCGCTCCCCTCCTCGTCCTCCACACTCTCTTGAAGCTGTCCGTCACGAAGCAGTAAACCACTGGATCCAGGCAGCTGTTCAGGCTGCTCAGAGTCACCGTGATGTGAAAGGCAAGTACGTGCCCCGCCCCCTGGCCTTGCCCCTCCCCTCCGACTGGCACCCAGAAGTAAACCACCACCTGCCGGACGTGGAACGGCGTGAAGCAGATGGTGAAGACCACCAGGACGGCGGCCAGCAGCCTGACGGCCCGCGCCCTCCTCGCCCTGCTCTGCTGGGGCATCAGGCCGGGGCTGGAGGTGAGGAAACAGGCGACCCTCAGGGTGAAGCCCACCACGGCCAACAAGGGGAGCAGGAACTCCAGGATGGTGAGGTAGAAGAGGGCAGGGAGGAGCACACAGGAGGAGCTGAACTCCAACGCTGTGGTCTGCAGAGAGCAGGAGAGACGTTCCAGCACATCAAGTCTAACTTTGTGTGTGTGTGTGTGTGTGTGTGTATCCGTTGTTGATGTGTTTGCGGCGGGCGTGTCCTCACCTGGAAGGAGTAAGTAACCACGACTGCGATGAACCAAACTGTGGCGCTGACGCACCTGGCTGTTCCCGTGGTCCTGCATCGACGGAGGGTCCCGGACACGTGGACGACAGCGAGGTACCGATCTACGCAGATACTGGAAGGCGAGTCACAGAGGAAGGAGGAGATTAGAGAGCTCTCTGCTGATCGTGTGATCAATCGAACGATTGAGGGGCCGACTCACCTGGTCAGAAACAGTATGCTGCAGTACATGTTGACGAAGTAGCTGAAGGTGTGGACGTAAGAGCAGGCCACACAGCTCCCTCCGCTGTGGTACAGAGCGATGCGAGCGGGCAGCGACAGTGCCACCAGCAGATCGGCCACAGCAAGGTTTATGGTGTAAACCACAGAGGCGGAGGAGTGGGTGGAGGCCCCGCAGAAGATATAGAGAGCCAGAGCGTTGAGGACCACACCGACCACCAGCATCAGACAGTTGCACACCTGGAGTACGGAGGAGTCAGGTTAGACAAGATCAAGCAGATACACAGCAGGCGCACAGCTCATGTTGTCTCCATTTTCTCGTGATCTGACATTTGATATTAATTGAATCACAGCCGATGTGAGTTTCAAAGTGGACTGACATATGTTCCTACTAACTGGTATCCTTGTCTTTACCATGAGAGAAACCCACAGAGCGTAGAAGTCTTGGTACAGCTGCACATCCAGGTGGGCCAACCGGTGCAGGTAAGGTGCCCCCCACCGCTGGTCCCTGGCGCTGCAGTTAGTCGGGTCAGAGGTGAAGAGGGGCGGGAGGGGCCCGCTGGTGGAGGTGGAGCTGATGTTGGTAAGAAGGCTCTCCATTGACAAACCTGGTTTCTGAGTGGCAGGAGAGGTGAGGAAAAGAGAAGAGAGCGCAATATATTAGTCTTGTGCGCAACAAAAAATGTCTGGACTTTTAAGCCAACATGGATTAGAAGCACCTACGTGCTTTGACTGACCTCAATGCAGAGGAGGTTATTTTTGAGAACAATTGGGGAAGGCTTGGTAAGAATAGTAATGCATCATCTGCATACAGGTACATTTTGTGTTGTGTTCACTGATTCCTTTGACGTCGATATTAGCTTAATGCTCGCCAGATACAGTCATTATATCAATGAAAGGACTTTGGGATCATTTGTGTTTTTGTCATAATGAAAATATAAAGTCGATTAACCTCACAGGCTTTTTTTGCATGCTAAAAGCATGTTAGGATTGTCTCCAAACGTGTGCTATTGCTGTCTACTTATGAACCAGCAGGAATTTAAACCTAAAAAGAAACCCCATAATATTTGTAAGGGAAAGGTGCTTCCATCTTATATCATGGAGGCAGTTGCATTGTATCATAAATAGTCTTTAACAGCCTCCAAAGTCCAAAAGTAATGGAGTGTGGAGTGAATGGCTTAAAAACAACTCAACATATTTCAGCTCGTTGAGCAGCGACGTGCGTACTAGAAAATAAAAGAACGAGGAGTTAATCCAGAGGGAGAGACTTCAGAAATCCTCATCTTATAAACAACGTCCTCCCGTACTGTAGAAATGACTGAATCCATCTTCGTATGCGCTCTTAAAGGATGTGACACTTTCAACAAAGTTATGTTTTAAACAGGGTGTACAATGTTGATAATAACCATGTCAGTATGTGCTGCTATTTAATACACAGTTGACACATGTTGTGTTAAACACACAATAAATGTTTGATCACATAAATATAATAAATGTGACGCAACCTTTTTAATAGGGGGGAGGCTTTAGAGTCTCCAATGCGCAGATGCTTCAAGACACCAGAAATAGACCAGGAGTTTTAAAGGAACAATCCAAAAACTTTTTGTTGTCTTCATCAGTTGGAGTTTGCTCATTTTTCCTGAAGATGTATCTGTTGAATTAGTGGTTTGATTGTTTTGTGAACGACCCTTTACAAGGCCAAGAATAAACTTTGACGCTCCTATAGTGGATGTTATCCTTTCTTTCGTAGCTGTTTGTCTAGCTGCACTGATTTCTATCCAATGTGTGTTCAGCTCTTATGTGAGGAATAATACAAGACAGTACACAGTTACTGATATTAATTATTAATGAATTAATCTAATTAATGTGAAACACACCTTTTACCATCTCAGTTGCGCTGCGTTGGATATTAGATATTAGTATTATATACTATTAGCAGCATACTTATACTGAAAGAAATATGACTTAATTCACAGCGATTCATCTCAAATATAGAATGTAATGTAATGCTGTAATAACACAATTTGTCAATAAATTGTTTTCTTCTTCTTCTTCTTTTGGATTGAAGGTGAATCAGAGGCAGCGTCTTGCCCACCAGGTCTCATTGTTCTGAGTGGCATCTGCTCTGAGTTTTAAAGTCCTTCCTCCGTCCAGCAGCAGTTCAGGCCAGCTGTCACTGTATCGTTTCATAGATTCAAAGTCAGGTTTTACTCAGCTTTGTTTCTACAATGCATACCCCGAGGCAAGGTTTTAAATCTAGTCTAAGTGAGAAAAGGCATTTGAAGGTTTTAAATGAAATTTCAATATTTTGACACCTGAGAGAAATGTTTTTGCCACACTTTCAATCCACACTTTCATATTAAACAGGTAGATTCTGTTTAAGGTATTATTCGACAGACACCCCAAAATGTCTTTCCTTTCCTTTTAAATACCGGAGATGGATGAGCTCCTGTTAACAGGTCCTGCCAAAAGAAGGGCTTTCCACTGTTCATCATCATGCAGACAAACTGATAAAAACATGGCCGAGAGCCGGGATTAGAGGACAGGAAAATTCCGACAACCTGGTTACTGATTCAGCCATTTCTTCTTTATGTTATGGTTGCATCCAAACAAAGATTTTTGCCAATGATTTGTACCCAGCACTACTTTTGACAGCTAATATCCTATAACAATCAACTAGCAAGTCTGCAAAACGGGCTTTAAACAAACCATAAATGTGTACATCCCAAAAGCTTAGAGAGGACAGTAAATTTCCCTTCATGTAATCTATTAATGAAAAGCTCCTGTTTTCAGAGAAAAGCGTGCATGTAACCTACTGCTTTGATTAGATGGTGGTATTTTTCTTTTAAATATCATTTCCGTGCTATTGGAGGCATTAAATCCCTAATGGAGACGAAAACATCTGCATTTTAAGTAACAGATTAGAAATTAGAGTTCTGAAACATACCTCCAAAGGAGTTGAAGACAGTGAAAATGTTGTTGTCCCGGAAATCCGCCCAAAACTTCTTAAAGTTTGAATGTTTCTATTCGTATGACAAAGTTACTGTTTGACGTCTTCTTTCTTCCTGTGTTCCCTGTAGTTCGAGGTTTGGGATGTGAACCCTTCTGGGTGGGATGATTGCTCCAGCAGAGAGGAGTACGCTTTCTGGTGTCACCCCCCCTTAACCTCCCCCTCCCCTTCCTCAGTGGTGTGGGGAGGGAATGAACACACTATAGAAAATAATGCAGTGTAAAAGAACTTTCCTTAGTGTCCGGAGAGACACTGTCAGAAAAAACAGGCAAAGTAGTTAGCGGGTAGATTTTAGCCAGTTTGGACTGATATTTGGATTGGAAATAACCAAATCTGACACAACAGTTTTATTTTGCAAAAAATTAAAACTTTAAAACTAACTTGTGTTTATGCCAGTATGGGCTAATTTACTCAAGTAGGTTTTCAATGAGTTTATTTAAAGCCGTCCCCAGGGTGGTCCGACATTGGCCTGAAGGGGGAAAAAGGCCTACTCCTCCCTGGTTTGTCTCTGTGTAAATACCTGACACAATTAGAGGGGAGCGTTTCTGTACATGTTTTTACAAAGCTGCCAGCCGGTGAACCAGTTTAATTAAATTTACACCCTCAGTTCTAGGAATAGAGAGAGACAGAGCGCATGCAGAAAGAGAGGGAGAGGGAGGAGGTCTTTTACGTTCATTTTAACAGAGACATACTATTTGGAGTGAAGCAAAGTAACATAAACAACGAGAGGGATGGCCACTAGTCCAGAGCGCGTGTGTCCACGTGTGTGGCAACTGTGTAGAGTACATGTCAAAATGTCACCTGTCGGAGCACACAGCTGGCCTGAATAACCTGTGAACACATCATCAGTTCATATGAAACTAAAAAAGGATTCAGAGTGATGGTTTATTGCTGACAACATCTGATGGAATGTGTTTGACCTTGTTTCAATATTTCAAACCATTACCAGTTGATCCATCCTGGCTCAGCTTGTTTAAAGTGCTGGAGGCTGTGACGAGGATGTCTCAGTGAAGTCTGGGCTACACTAACTATTCAACATCAATGTTCAACGTGAATTTGCTAGTGAACATTTTCAGTGAGGGTGGTGGAGCTTTCTAGAGTTTGAGTGAAGTAACATTACTTGATGATCTTTTAAGAGAAAGCCTGTGTAACAAATAGTGTTTGAAATCCTTCCTGAACAGAAGCTATAAAACTGCATTATGCATAGTACAGTATCTAAACTGAAGATGTAATATCAGAATATTTCTGCATGCCTCTGACAATTCTTTTCAATGTTTTGATCCCAAAAGACCCAAAGAAAGGGTGCAGGCCAGAATTATGACCATATTAACAATTATAGAACATGGAAACATATATATATATAAAATCTATTACAATTTAAAATTGTAGCCTGATATATGAAATAAATGTGCAGCACATTTCAGGATATAGGTTACTATTGATTGTTATCAATTTAATCCATACTACCTTGTACTGTTTCTATGACACAATATACATACAGAATACAATGGCAACTGTTTGTTGCCACAGCAACCGAAGTTGCGTCACCGTTTAAGAACCGACGTGAAAAGCACCGGCAGCTTCCGTTCCCGAGCGACAGAAAAATATAGAAGAATATAAATAAATAAAACGTCAATGTGAACTCTGCCTTTCACCCTTTAATTCTAGTCACGTGGGACGTGGGTTTATATAAAAATAGACGAGTCTCGTTTTTTATTTAACCAAAACGAATCGGAATTTGTTTCCTTTGTACCACACGGAAGTGTTACCGATGGGAACGGAAACCAAATATCTAAACAAACGCAACGCTTGTTAGTTAGTTAGTTAGTACTAATTCCCATTCGCATAACGACAGAGGGCTGAGAAGATGTTTAAAAATACGTTTCAAAGCGGATTCTTGTCAATTTTATACAGCATCGGAAGCAAACCGCTTCAGATTTGGGATAAAAAGGTGAGCATGCAGAATACAACGAACCGAGTTTAGCCGTGTTAGCTAGCCGCGCTAAAGCTAACCCGCGGGACATGTTTTGGGATTAGGCTCGCTAAATTATCTCTTCGTCGCAAGACGAATACTTCCTTCTCCGTTGCCGTGTGTTTTGGATGCATTGCTCACATGTTAATGTGTCACACGAACTTCCATCGACTATTTGAAAAGTGCGGTTAATCGGCTTCACTTAAAAGTATAAATGCGTGTTTAATTCGTCTCAATTAGCGCTGTCAAGTTTCTTGTCATGTTATTTTGAAACCAACCTGAGGTTGCATTATAATTCTAAGCAATGTTATTGATTTGGGGGGGAATTTACGTAATTGACGGGGCTGATATTATTAGTCACCTTCTTATTCAGGAAGACCCTTGTACTTAGTTAGGATTCAATGTTAGCATTAGCAAAACACAAGTTGGGCCGAAAAGGAGATTACCAAGCAACAGGTGACACATGTAGAGAAGCATTTGTTTTTTTGTTGGATCTGCATTGCCATTGAGATCATTTCTGCGCGTAAACTAAACATGGTATTTCTGTGTCTTCAAAGGTGAGGAATGGTCACATCAAGCGAGTTATGGACAACGACATCCACTCGATGGTGTTGGAGGTTGAGGGGGCGAATGTCAGGTCAGGAGTTTATGTTTAACTGATTCTTCAGCTCAGGTCAAGCAGTTCAAGCACTTGCCACCCTCATCCATGTCACTCGTCTTTGTGCTTCCTCTGCTCCCTGCAGTACCACATATATAACATGTCCCGCAGACCCCAAGAAGACATTGGGCATCAAACTTCCTTTTCTAGTAATGATCGTCAAAAATCTCAAGAAGTATTTCACCTTTGAAGTCCAGGTATGGTCGGCATTCCTGCAGACACAGACAGCTTCCACGGCTCAAGTGTCGGAACAAACAAATGTGCGTTTCCCTGCAGTCACCAGAGTCATGTTTTTTTTTCCCCCCCCATTGTTGAAAAAAAACGCATAGGTGTTAGACGATAAAAATGTTCGCCGGCGGTTTCGGGCAAGCAACTATCAAAGCACGACAAGAGTAAAGCCGTTTATCTGCACCATGCCTATGAGGCTGGATGATGGCTGGAACCAGATTCAGTTTAACCTGCCAGACTTCACCAGGAGGGCCTACGGGACCAATTACATTGAGACGCTGCGTGTACAGGTTAGTGCACGGAGACCAACAAGGAGCCGGCTCGCTTTACAGATGAACTTGTGCGATTGCGGATCCTCATGTCTGATGCGAATGCATTTAAACTGTTTTGCTTCCAGATCCACGCTAACTGTCGAATAAGGAGAGTATACTTCTCGGACAGACTGTACTCTGAGGACGAGCTCCCAGCTGAGTTTAAACTCTACCTGCCGGTCCAGAACCCGAAAGCGAAGGTGATTAATTTCCATTCCATTAATCCATTCTAAATTCAATACTTCAAACTGTAACTTCAGGATAAGCTCTAGTCCACTGTGTGCTAATAAAGGTGACGTGGCAAATAATTTGCTTTAAAGCAGAATAAAGTGTGGAAAGGAGTGTGCCGTTTTAAAAAGTTATATTAACTGATTGCATTGGGAATACAGAAAGGTAAATGTTACATTTAGTCATGGTGAACTTACACTAACAAACACTTTTTACTATAAAGTTTTTAGTACTCCGCAGTTCTCATCAACGTAAGCAGCTCAAATGCCTGTTGCTGCTACTGTGGAAAGTTTACAGTCTTGTAATATTTGACTCTCACAGCTCTATGCTAATTCTCCAGCGAGGCGCAATGACTGAATTCTTCTGTTAACTTTCCGCTGAGTTTCCTTTGAACAGAGCAGTTTTGCGCCGTAGGGTTTGGAATTTTGGTTAGCGTGGAGGAAAACACTGCAGACCACCTCACATGGAACCACCTGACACACACAACTCCGCTCTAACAATTTTTTTTGGCACGTTACAGGGATTCTAACTTGCGAGAATACAAGTAAATAAGTGATTTGATTTTTAGAAGTTTGCCCAACTCTTGTTTGTGTGTTTTATTTCTTGCAGAAATAGACCTTCCCATCCTGAACAAATCCTCCAGACCTGATGTGGAGTCACTCTTAAGACTTGCCTGTATTAATAAACATTTTGTAATTCTGAATCTCTGTACAGTGATGTTTTTAATGCTGACGGTAATCGTTTAATTATAGTATACGTTTTCTAGAAACAATAGTTTGTGGCACGCGTTCTACATCCTCCCGCTGGAAAACATCACAAGTAAATTGCTGATACTCACTGTTAACAGCTGAGAAAATGACCACTAAATAATAAGTCAATTTGTCAAATATAAATAATATTTATCAAATGACTCACAATTTGCATTCCAAAAACAATTAATCTTTGGATTTCTGTGTACAGAATGAACAGGTCAGTGATACATTCATTTAACTATATGCTGTTTCTTAAGCATTTCATACTCGTAGAAGGTGCAACAAATCCACAGAAGAATTTAAAAAAAGATGTGATGAAGCTTCTAGTGGTAAACTCCAGAGGACAACATCCTGTCAATGTGTATTTTACAACAAAGACAAAAGTAAACAACTTAATTGAGTAAATAGAATTGAAAACATTTGGGATTAGAGTTCTACTCAAGTGTTTTTTTTTACTTTTCACACCCAACTAAGAATAAAATGTACGGAAACGTTTTGTATTTTCTCTGTGTGGTACTCAAAACGTGTGTTTATTATTAACGTGCTTATTCTGTAATGTTTACTTCACAAATGTCATCCGCTCGGTTGGCCAAAGTTAACACCGATTTTAAAGTGGGTCACATCTGTTGATAAAAGTGGGTCAGACAAGCTACACACTAAAGTCACCATTTGTTCACTGAAATACAAATAAGCTAATATGGTTTATGTTTTCCAAAGTGACATCTTGCTTTCATGAAAACCACAGAAAATACTGCTTTGACACAACACAACAGTAAATCATCAGCTCCCAAGTATTTCAAATATGAATTTAAAGGCATTGTGAAACTATTGGCATTGATCTTACAAAGAAAGGCTCTGATTTTCCATGATCAGCCAACTGTTGCAATATATTTGGTAAACAGTTCAAAACAAAGGAAAAAAAACTATATTAACTATAACTATACTAAAACTATATTAACTTTATTACGACAATATCCTTCTTGGCAACGTTTTTAAGTCAAATTAAAATATCTGAGAAGTATTGAGAATTTATAAACAAAAAAAAGCATGATTCAAATTCATTACTAGATTTAAATCTATAAATCAAAAACCTTTAAGTCAACAGCAGGCCTCGCTTTAAAGTGCAAAAAAATATCCATTGGTTCAAATCAATAAATCAACTAGTGCATTAAATTATCATATGGCACATCATAAATAAGGACAGTCACACCGACAAAATGATACAAGTATAAAATAAACCTTCTGCAACACAAAGACAGTAGTGCAACAGATAACACATCCCAGCCTGTGTTGCGTTACGCTTGCATTGATGTTTGGAGACGCTGTACAAATAAAGTCACAAAAAACCCTTTACGGTTTCCACTTCACATTCTAGCATCTAACAAGTCCTTTCAGTTATTATAAAGTTGTGTGGAACTCAACTACTGCATCAACCGGTTTATCTGGCTTCATCATTCCTCGGTTTTCTTTGGACGCAAGAAAGAAGCGGCTTCTCAAACCACTGACATGGAAACAACATTTTCATATCAGCGCTGTGGTGGCAGAAGTACGTTGCCCAACTAAAGTGGAATGCTGCTTTAAAGCGAACACTTGTGTTGTTCAAATCCCTTCCCGGCCTACAATGGTTCATTTCTCTTTAGTGCAAAAATCAACAAGTCAACAAGTATTTTCCTTCATTCACATGATGAGTTGTCCTGCACGCTGGTGTGCGTGTTTACAACATGACTTGTGTGTGTTGAAACGCGCACTTGTCCGGCACTATGTCGTGCTCCCGTGATGGATGACATAGTAGTCGTGGACGTACATCAACACAGCGACGGGCTGGCCAATGATGAGAGAGATCCACACAGCGGCGTTGCCATAGTTTCCAGTCAGGAATCGACCCACAAACCAAGCCAGGGGAACCTGGGAGAGATTAGAGTTCAGAGGTCAGATTGTGTATGCCTGCTGCACAGCAGAGATTTATGACCATTCAATGCTTCTTACCTGCGTCATCATTCCCATGAAGGCCCCACAGCCTAAACATCTTCAGAGGAATACTCACCAGGTACTGAGGAGAAATTCAAGATATCAAACACAGAAAAACAGGCAATATGTAGAAACTGCAAATTACTTGAGAGATTTAGCTGCATCTGCATCCAGCGCATCCCAGCTGTGAGCATGTACAGATGTTCAATAAAAAAAACCTGCACGGGACTTTTAGGTTGAATGAGCAGATGTGTAGACTTTACCTCGTGGAAGAAGGCAGACATTAGGAAGATTGCGGTTTGAGCCAGAAACTTGTTGACTCCCTTCCTCAGCATCGGCTTATAAAAGTGTCTTCAACACACAAAAAGACACACTGATCTAACAGATCTGCCCGAATAAATAGTGGTACACAGCTTCACTTCTTCTGGATATCTTTTCTCAAAGACAACATGAAGGAAAGTTAATAGACGCTTGGTGCTCACCTCAGACACCACTTGTGAACTGGGATGTTCCAGTTGGCCCAGAAATATGTGACCGACTCAGAGTTCCTGAAATGTACGAAAATAACACAGTTTTGAGAATTTGACGTCAAGATAATGGGTTATGAATGATGACTGAGTGCACCAAGAATAAAGACCTGTATTCATGATCCCAGCTGAAGGTATGATCGCTAGTTGTGTCACAATCAAGATGAAATGGGACTCGCTAACTCAACATGTTAGGACTGTTACGCAGTTTCTTTACGGGTATGCTTTATCGTATTCGTGTGCACTTGCACTGTTGGATGTTTCGTCAACTCACCACCAGTCTTTGTAGAACTCTCTGTCTCCAAACTGCAGCAGTTCTGCCAAAAAGTTCATAGAAGAGTGGAAAAACCAATAGAAGAATATTAACCATATCAGATGGTTCGGGACCTGAGAGAGGAAGACGGGGGTCGTCAAAAAAAGCGTCACGGTAACAATGCGGCTACTATGTTGCTACCTCCCCCTCTAAAATATACTGACAGTTTAGACAAAGTTCATGGTTCAAAATAAGGGATTTAAATGGTAAAAAGTGGTATCTTTTTCAATTGTATTCCTTGGTTTTCAATCCGCGTTGTGCTAGGATACCATTGTGTGTCCAGCGTGACAACAGAACGTTATGATACTCACAGCTAACTTCAAGAGGCGCTCTACCATCCGAGAGAAGTCCATTTCCTGTGAGCGACACAACGACAACTTTGTTATTGACGGTGCCCTTCAGACAAAACCTTGCAGTCTACGGGTGCTTGTTTGTTGCTCCCCAGAGATCTCTTCTCTTTGTCATATGTTTGTGTGTGTGTACACACCTGGAATGGTTTCATTGAATTTTGTATGGTGGGAACCATCCACTGGAAGACACAAAACAAAAATCGTTTTAGGGGTGAAAACTGATTTAAAAATCCAGATAATTCTGTGGGGTATTTTGTGAGTGCGACATACCTGCTGTATCAACCCCACCAGGAGCTGCATAATGAAAAGCTACAGGAAAGAGAAAGAGCGAATCAAAATCAGGATCCTCTTGGTTTTTCACTTAGAAAGATCTCAGTTGATCCTACGACTTGTTGTGTGTGTGTCAGTGTTCCCTCTCACCATTTCCAAAAGTCTTCTTATCAGGAACCGTATGCGTATTCGAGGGGACCGTGGGAAGTTCAGCTGGTAGCACAGAGTCGGAGCGAAGACAAAGTAGTACATGTCTGAAGACAAAAAAAAAGGAATCAAAATGTTTATTTAAGACTGTTTTCACTATTGTAATGTAAACTGTGCAGTTTATCGTCATGCCATCGTCATGGTTACCTCTGTGGGTGAGGTTGCCCGGATAGGAGACATGAGCATGAACCGCCGAACCGTTCAGTTGCGACACGGACGGACCTGTTACACAGACGCGTGAAAACGGAGATGGTAATCAAGTGTTACTTTACGTCTCGCACGCTCATTTTATTGACTACAGTGAGGCGGGAAAGCTGTCAAGTAGCGCTTAGGATGAAAATAGCTTCAAAACATTCTGGGTGCGTGACAGAATCAGCCAAAAGCTGCAGTTTCTCTTGTAACCAGTAGGTGGTGTTAGCAGCACAGTTCTAATATAAAACAATCCAATCCAAGTGAGAGCTCATGTTTGTGTGTTTTAATCACATTTTATTTACAGTCAGTCTGACGGTTTTGTCCAACCTGTTGGCCACTAAACTGTTCTGCTAATGATCCCTCTGCCCTGCGCTGTATTCTGCACACAGGCCTGCTCCCATTCTAGATACCATTTATTCAAATTATACAAATTGTAGCACTTAAATTGTACTTGTAACGTCACTCATCCATAGCAAATTGTAAATTGGCTTATTTATTATTGAGCACTTTCTTGTTTCTTGTTCTCCTGCGTTTGTACCCTATGGTTGAATGCACTTATTGTACGTCGCTTTGGATAAAAGCGTCCGCTAAATGACATGTAATGTAATGTAATGTAATGTAATTCAACAGTGTGTGTGTGTTGATATACTTACATGAGTATGAGCGTGTTAGTCTCTTGGCTTTTGCTTGTCTGATTTCTCGACACCATCTGTTGGTGTCTTGGTAGGAGTACAGCTTGAGAAACAGCACCGTGTAGATTCCTAACGAGAGCACGCCGCCCACTGACACACACAAGAGCAATAAATGTTTTTTTTATTTTATAAACAGCTTTTTAAATTATAAAAACTTGATTCACAGAATTTGGATATCAGTGATGACTAATAGGCAATTGCACAAAATACATTTTGTCTATGTGTCATAAACATGTATGTGTTTATTATGCACCTGGGGTCATGGACGTCACAGTAAGCACAGTGGCTGCAGGGAAGATCAACACGGATGTCAGGTTAATAATATGAAGAATGCTTCCGGTCATTTGGGAAATGGTGCCCTAGGAAAGATACAATTAAAACACACTTAAAAAAATGTTCTTCCTCATAGTCATACTTATAAATAAGCTACAATTATCTGAACAATAAGAACATTCAGGCTCCTTCATGGGGCTCAGAGATGTACTGCAGATGAAATGCTTATTTCTTTGGTGACCCCAAACCTCTCTGGCAGAGACTGTTCATATTTAACTTAATCTGAACCAGGAGTACTTATCCGCGTTATCGGCAGGTGTAAAGAGGTGAGGAGACGCGTCGACTTTGGGTTGTGTAAAGTGCCTCCTCCTTGATGGGAGATCCCCCAATGATGAATATAAAAAAAAAATCAAATCTCTTTTGAGTTAAGCTATAGATTTGCCAAAATCCCTGAACAAAGTTATAATTGCAATGTCAGGTTTTTGAGGAATGTATCGGCTAATTAACAGAAGCAGACCGAATTGAACAGGCTGAACTTGCCGTGTCTACAATAGTAAAGCAATGACATTTGCAAGAATGAAAATGTAGGCAAATAGTTGTGATTACTCACCACAGCCAGACGCCTCTCTGTGTACAAGACTGCTAAGATGAACACATTGGACACTGAAACACAGGAGGGACAAACGGGCTCATCACATAGATGGGAACCAGATTGACTTTATTTTATTACTCGGTGTAACCGCAGACAGACAGACAGACAACCTGGTGAATATTGATTTAGTCAAACATGATGGAAGGTTTCAGATACGAGCCCTGTATTTTCTCTGAATAGCTGGATTCCATTTCATTAAGATTGTCTATTATAATGATACCTGCTAGTCAGGGGCCCATTCCTGCACAGGACATGTATTGTTTTTTTAAATGCATCAACAAAGAGACAATGTCCCCGAGTGGCCCTGCCTTTGGGTTGATAATCAATAACAGAGCTCATGGTAACTGGGCTTCTGTCTGCCATCATGAGCTCGTTCAATCGTATCAGATCAGCCATTAAAGCCGTGTCTGTAAGGCTGTAACACACGTTTTATTACTGTCAACAACAACACGTTGTGTCACAGTGATGGAGACTTGTGTTACCGATCACTTGTTTACCAATGAGGTCAACACCTGAAAGCTGCCAGAAGGACAAATGTCTGAGTCCTTCGACAGGTGCACTAGAGCTCCATACCAATGATGAGGCAAGCTGATGGCCAGCTGTAAGGGTCCTTCAGGAAGAGAGACACCACTTGGATCGGGTCCACCAAGATACCATACCTGGACAAGAGAGGAGCGAGTAGAAGGTTTTGATCCGATCAGTCATCAGTGCTTTTGCGAAGAAATGAGGCTGAAAATGGTTTTATGAGTGGTTCACTTTGAGATTGGTCAGTTAAAATGGTTTGGTGTCCACCAAAAAGAGCTCTAACTATTGGATAAGAAAGAAAACCTGGAGACACCGTGATGGCACTCAGTCACGTCTCCATAGCGACACATAAACTAAGCCCTTAGTTCACGGGCTGTCAAATGCACTCCTGAATGTTGAAGTCCGCCTCCCGTTCTGATTGATTTTTGAAGTGACCAATCGACATAATGTACATATACTGTGGTGCGCGTTTAGGGTTCATACTCACTTTATAATGTTCTCCAAGAAGAGGCGTGCATTACTCAGCACCTGAAAGAGTGACAGGAGCTAATGAGCGTAGTTCACAAGGACCAACGTTGTTCAGTCCACAATATCCCCCCTCATGAGTCCTCCGCAGGTTTCCATGTGTTTATTTTTAGGTGTTTATTATGTGATTTGTTCAAAACACAAATGACACCAACAAATATCTGTCCCATTTTTTCTTTTTGATGCAACTTGCAGAAGCAGCAGATTAAAGATGCTCATATCTTCATGGTCAGTTTAAACGAGATAAGATTGGTTCCATACCCAAATTGAGCAACTTATCCCAGCTGCGATAACTGCCCCCCCCCCCCCCTGCTTCCCCTCAGTGGCGAGCAAAACAAGTTTATCATTATACGATGTGCTAAAGTTCAAAGTTTGAGTCCCTCTTAAATTATCGGCGATTTCTGAGATAAAAACCCGACGACCCACTCGACACGGAGAGAGCGCACATGCATTTAGTGCAGCAGCCAAGAGACCGCTGAAATGACCATGCACAGAGCAGGACACGCGATACGCTCGCACAGTAGTGGTCACGTGCCCCGTTGCCCCACGGCCAACCCGCCTGCCAAGACCCGGCAGCAATGTGGTTTTGGCTTCAACCCTGTCTTTGGTCCGAAGCGGTAACCTTTGCTTTAGTAACCTTCAGCCACGGAGGACCGTCGTGTAGAAAACCCATTCCAGAGAAACGGGCCTCCCCGGAGCGTTGAAAGAAAACATTGCAAAATCCTGTTTGGCATTTATTCAACTGTGCAAATGTGTCCTCTCGTGTCCCTGACCCTGGGAGGATTCATTGTCTTGCTCAAAGACACTTCAGCAGAGGGCATTTCAACTGAACCCAGGTTGCCTGAACAGGTCTTCCTTCACAACACAGCAAAGCACACGGGGGGCGTGCGTTCACGTTCCTCGTCTCACAAGGAGTCGGCAGCTTGGAAACGACCAACAAACGAACTAGTCGTTGACACTCATCCAGCGTCCTTTAAACATCATCGGTGGAAGGAAAAAGTGTGCAGCTGTAAATAGCGGGCTGGTCCCTGTTGCTGTAGGAGCTGTTCACATGGTCCGTTTGGCTGCACATCAGAGGGAACCACGATGCGACCAGCTGATGCATCGATTGTTTGGATCATTGTTTGACTTTAGCTTGTTGAGGTTTAAACGTAGCGTCTCTCCTCGCTGCCTGGCTGAGTCCTCGTATCAAAAACAGGCCCACTGAACATGGTGCAGCGTCCTAAAAAAATATATATATATGTTTCACTCGCAAAGATTTATTTTTGGCCCCGATCTTATTCTTCTTAACATTGTGCCTTAATATTGAGCGCTTTAGACCTCCAAACAACTGGAATATTCTGATATAAAACACACTTCCTTCAATCTTTAATTTAAAGAAGAGGTGCCGCTGTTTCGAAAAGAAGCTCGTAAAATTCTTTACTTTGCTGACCGTCTTTGTTTTAAGGCTGTGAATGATTTGAATTAGAAGCATTTCAAAAACACTTTGCCTTCTACACTCAAAAGGGAAAAGGGAAAGAAGATGAACAACACATCTGATGTCCCATCTGCACAAACGTGCTCCTGCAGCTGAAATTTAAGGAAACTGGCCAACAGTCCCGGTTATTGGGGACAAATGACACAACTAAGCCGTGTGTGAGTGTGTCCCTCCATCTCCTCCGCCCACAAACACGCACACAACCTTGCGGTTCCACTTCACCCTCTTTCGGCCTAATCCCGATGGCTTCCTAAAAACGGCCTGAACAGAGCGATGCGTCCCCGCTGACTATTTTTTTCAAAGTCAAAATTAATCCGGCCCCGGAACTAAAAAAAAAAAAGTACGTGTCCACATGTGCAACGTCGGAGTCACAACCTGTTGCAATCACAACAGGGCACAAAGTTCATTCTTCTGAAGATAATCCCGTCGGCTGGTCTGAACAGAAGCTCCTGCTAATTAATTTACTCGACACGTGGAACGCTCGTCTCATACATTTGAGTGGTCGGCTTTTGTTGCGGATCCCTAGTGATTCTCCTTACTTTATCCTGGCAAGGTTAAGATGTGAAAGCTTAAACTGTGATGCACACAGACTTTTTTTTCCCAGAGCTATAAATAAAACGATCCCTTAAGGAAGATTAATCTTTTGGGTTAATGTTTTATTTTTAGAATGTCAGTATGAGAAGCTGTGAAGATGCATCAAGGCACTTAAGGGTCATGTTATTATTCATTAGAACGGGTGACTTTTAAAATTAAACCATATAATGCTGATTGATATGGGTCAAATAAAAGAAGACACTACAAATCCAATCCATCTACATAAACATTTTTCATACCCGCACATTTCACAGATGCCACCTTGCGCCCCACAATAATCTCTCTGATGGAAAATCCCTGCACTGCGTTCATATTCGTCATTTTGCAGTGTGTGTTCGACGTGAACCGTCACTTTAATCCGTAGGATGTTGACCGCAGGTGTACTAGAACAGAAAGTCTGATGAGTCAGCTTCAAAATATAAAATAAACTCACTTGGATTAAAGTGCAGCCAATAACCTTCTTAATCAAAGTCGTAGAAATGGGGAAATAATGCAAATAAAGGACTGGCAAACTTCAATGAGTAAATTCGCTGTGCACGCATGTTGGAAGACATGAAAACAACTTATCAGACCTCTCACAATTTCATGTGTCACAAGAAAGTCACTGTAACGAGTCCAACTGGAAGTTCTTAAAGCAATGACCAGAGTCGCTCTGTGCTACAGTAGCTGGCAGCTTAGTACACAGTACAAGTGGAAGACAAAGAGACGACTGTGCAGCTGGGATAGGAATAATAACTCTTTCAAAAAAGAAAAAAAAAGAAAAAGATGAATTGCGTGTCATGTTTTCCTCCACAATTTAGAGATGATTATTTGTGGAGGTCACAGTACATTTTGACTCGTGAATGGACACGTGCGGTTCGACTCACCAGCATCACAACACACCAGTTGAGGATTCCTCTGTAGTTGCTGTAGCCGCTGGCTGAACTTAAGAGGGACTCCTGGAGGACGTGACAGCTGCATGGAAACACAAAGTCAACAGTTTTACGAAGGATCTCTGGTGCTGATGGAGCTCTCTGCATTCCCTCCTGCCTGTAGATCTCCAAGAGCTCGGGCATGAAACTCCAGTCGCTCTCAAGCCTCTGCCAAGGAGACGTGCATCTTGAAACTACACACACTAGACATGTTATAGTCAATTAGGTTTTAAAGGACGCTGCATAATTCAAACAGACAATTCATTGCGGCTAACGTTTTTTTTTGGTTGTATTTCCCCCCCCCCCCCCCACAGTGTTCGATTTGCCTTTCAAAACAGTCGCAACATAAATATTTTTTTAGCCTAACAGGCTTTTAAATGAATTCATTCATATCCAGTAGGCCCACAACCGCACCAGGGCCATGAACAAGTTGTGAAAATGTAGGTTTTAAAAAAAAGTATTGACTAATTTCAACATTTCAACATTCTGGTGTTGGCGTTTTCTCTCCATGCCTTCATGATATCAAGCTTCATATCTTTGGTGTGAGGTGCGAGTAAAACACCAGCCAGCATACAACAATAAGCACAGGTGGTTTCAAAGGCTGAGGAGGCTTATCTGGGGGAGTGGGTGTGTTATCATAAAGGTTAAGGGTCATAAGGTCTGCTGTAAACTTATACCTGCCTCTTACACCATTAACTGTTTCTACTAATCAGACCAATGTGTACAAGTAAAAAATAAAGTGCAAGTGTGTGTGTGTGTGTGCAGGGGGGACGTTTGCTTCTATTCACAGAAAGGTGTTGGACGTGGAAGATGAATTTCCAAATACCAAAAAGGCAAACAGTTATAACGTTAGCCCACTTCTGCGGCCACGGGCGAAAGTATCCGTTGTGGTTGAATTCAATATAAGTTAATATAAGGTTACTTATGTACATCCGTGAAATCCGGTCTGTGCGCGTGACGTCGGGACGTTTTTTTATTTAAAAGCCGGCAAACGTTACCTCAGCCTGTGGTTCAAATCCTCCACCACGCTCCTCTGCTTCTTCGGACTGTCGGGGTGGTGTTTCTGCCCCGACGCCCCCGTCTCTCCGCCCGCCTTCCCGCCGTTGCTCGCCCCCACGTTCGCCTTGGCCGCGGCGGGACGCCCCGGCGCTTTCTCCCCGGCACCGTGACACTTGTTCCCGTTGGTGCGTTTCGCCGCTGCGGCTCCGCCACCGTTGCCGGAGACGGTGATCCTCCTCCGGCGGGTAACGGGCCCTCTCATCTCGGCTGCGTCGCTCATTTAGGCGGCGTGCGGTCACGCAGCTTCCACCCGTCTGACACGGCTGGTCAAGCCGCGGTCACCTGCGTCTTTATTCCCATCCGCGGGGTTACATGGAGAGCTGACGGGCGAACGCTCACGACGCGCGTCACCGCTGGTGGTTTGACGGCGTTTCATCACCACCGGCTCAGGTTGCAGTTGTCATTAAGGTTGCCAGATCTGTGTTTTTAACTGACATCCCCCTATCTAATCCACCTCCGGAGTTACTGTTCCACAAAAAAGAGAAGAAAAATAAATGTACTGGGTCATAGTGGCATGTAGCACCAATGCATCCTCAATGTTCAACTATTTGCCACAACAAATGAAGGTGATGACATAAAACAGTATTCATTTAACATTCAATAACTAATCTGATGTAATAGTAGACCCACAGACAATTCTCAGCCCAAAACCCCCCAATCACTGATTGAGAATCAGGTTTTGTTGTTGCCAAGTGTATGAATTACAGCATTGCAATATGTGTTCCCTCTAGAATCCAACCTAATCCAGTTTTAGCCTTCTAGCAATCTGCAGGAGAATGTATGTCTTTACCTAAATTTAAAATGGATTTGTTAGGATTAAAGCATTGCAGGGTTAGAATTTGCTGCCGTAAACAATTTGTATGCAACCAAGTTCTGCTCTATCCCTTCTATGTGTCGGAAAATGACCCGATATCCAGGAAACTAGTCCCCATATCAACGTGATGCTTATGCAAATATTTAACGTAAGTAAATGCAATGCAATACATGCATGCCTTAATGTATTAAAATAACCCACTCATAAAATAATAGGATATTAAAGTTGACATTACACACACACAAACAATATTGCATCTTTCACCTTGTGTTGTGTTTTACCACTACGATTCAAATGCTGTAATGGTTTCTGTCCTTTTCTTGTGGTTGTGGTTTACAATTGTATCTTTTCACGCTTGGAAGCAATATTGCCCATGTTATCATAATAACACAGCATTATTTAACGTCTATGACAATACTCCAGTTTCTTACAGCCGTTGTATATAGCTTCACTTTCAAAAGTACGTCACGTTATCGTCAACCACATCTCATTGCTCAAATACGACGACCAAAAAAATTGCAATCAAGTCAATTTGCGAACCAAACGGGAGCCAATGGTATTCGTGTTCTGTGTCACGTGTCATTTATGCCCAATCAGAGCGTTGCAGGATGATCTCGCGTTAGGTTGAGTCGGATACAGCTGTTGAGAGAACTGATAACGTATAGTCAAATATCGTCACTGTTTTTAGTTGTTTCGAAACATATTTTTAATTTGTTGATTTGTCTATGGCGCAACACAACCTCCGTAATTCGCTAAACGGCTTTTAACAGGATGAAAAAGCTGAAGAGGAAGAAAGAAACCGCAGGAGTCGGGTTGAATGGGACTGGATCTGTCACCAGAGGTAAGCCATGCCGACAAATAGGTAATAGGTGACTGTTTCTATTTAATAAACGTAACGTTACGCTAGACTCAAGTACTTCACTCCAAGCTAGCTAGTTCCAGCGTTAAAACGAGTCTGCATATTTAAAGATGCTTCTATCCAGCTGCTGCACGTGCAGCCGAAATAAGTGAGCTTGAATGCCCGTTAAGTTAAAAACTAATTATTCAGCCCGCTGACACAAACAACAAGACACCAATGACGAGTAAATATCCCAGCAAAAAGACGCCGGTGCCACACTTCTGTTCAATTCGACAGTAGCTTGTGTCAGTGGTGCCTGCGTGGCAGCCAGTCTGACTACTTCCTGTCAGAGATGACGTCATTATTCACAGTAGTAATGACGAAATAAACGAACACCTGCAATCAGGTGTGTCATCACTCAACTCTGGGTCTCTGAGTTTTTCCTTTCAAGATGTACGCACACTTGATCCAAGCCTCCATGCATAGTCCTTTCACTATGGTCATATTTGTGATTCATGTTGAGGTCGGTTATTATAATGTTTTCTTTATCTTTCTCTCTACACGTATTTCCATCCCTCATTCTTGCCCTCTGTATGTGTCACCACCTTTCCTCGCCTTTACCTTATCGCTACACTGTCTTTCTTTCATTCTTGTATTTCCTTCATCGCTTCATTCTCACCCACGTCGTTTTTTTTTTTTACAGAAACAAATTGCGGAAGAAAACAGAAGTTGGCAGAGATCCACCAGGCTTTGTTCAGGTTAATTCATTGTTAACTATCAGTACTGTGGTTTGCTTGTTAAGGATTACTTCTATGTCCACTGTTGTGACTCTAGGAAGACATATTCATTTTTTCACATTTTCCCTCAAATCAGCATCTAAGATGGCGTTATATTTAATCTTTTAAAGTATTCCTCATCAAATTGGCTTACATCTTACCAATGAAACACTTTTGACACTGACAAATAAATGTACCCATAACATTCTGATGATGAAATACACCATAACTTGAACGGTGAAGGAACTCAAGATCCCAGTTCACCTACTTACCACAATGGCTTTCCTTTAAAATCAGCCTCAAAGTGTCTGTATTTCCAGAAATTTAGAAAGTTATGAGAATTTTGTAACTGAATCCACATATCATTGCATAAGAAAAGTGTATTCTTTTTAGAAATGTGGACACATCGTGCTGTCATCCAAATATACAATACATATCCATTTATATTTTACTAATCCACCACTATTAAGACAATGTATTGTATTCCTGAGGCAAGTTGCTTTGTAAATTTGTCATTATTTAGAGCTATTAACTTCTGTCTGTATGGAAGACTTGTTACCATGGAGATTTTGCTGTCAGCAGACAGCAGACTCCTAAGATGTGCATCACACTGCTCAAAGTCCTATTCTGACTCTTGCTTTTGCAGTGATCCAGTGGACATTGAGACTCTGAGGAGAGCAGCAGCCAGTAAGGGAGGACTGCTCACTAACGACGTGAGGAGGAAAGTCTGGCCCAAACTGCTGAACGTCAATGTGTACGATCTACCACCTAAACCCGGTTAGTGGTTTATTCACAGGGTTTAAGGTCCACAATACTAGAATCAATGTTATAATGCTGACGATAACGATAAAAATGTGATTTGGTATGGTGTAGGTCGAGATGTGAGGGAGAGCCACAAGGACTACAACCAAGTAGTCCTGGATGTCAGGAGGTCCATGAAGCGGTTTCCCAAAGGTCTGTGTTCTGTCTGTGTATGTTTGTTAAACTCTAAAGCTACCGGCATCACTAGTGGTGCTATTATTCTACTTTTAATCCTGTATAGTCACATGCAGATGTCTGGATATCTGGGTAAAATCTGCAACAGGGCTCAGACATCTGTGTGTTGTCAGCCCAAATCCCAAAGTTGGGAAAGAATCTGTCAGTTCATTCTTGGTTAATTTTTTTTTTTTACTTAATAATCTTTTCTACAAAGAAAACAACAATTTTGTTCCCGAAATAGATGACTGAAAAAAGCAGCTGGGAATGAGGGAAAGCTGGATTTATGACATACAAGGCTCAGTTTAGTTGATCTCTGTCTCTGTACTACAGCTGTTCAACATAAGCTGAATTTGATGTCATTTTGCTAGTAAAAGGTGCCAAAAAAGTTCAAACTATGTACTTTTGGAAATTAAAATTGATATTTACTGCACATGTTGTGCAAGGAAATCATGTTCTACCTTTTAATAGCACAGCTGGGCAGTGTTTTTGTGTACCTGGTCACAAGCACTCGACCAGAGTCCGATAACCTTTGTCAAACTGTTAACCACTGGCCTTTTCCAGAGGTTCATTTGTTTCTATTAACCTCTGCTTTATTTATGGTCCTTGACTCTCCCTCAGGCATGGCAGCCACACAGAGAGCCGTGCTCCAGGAGCAGCTGACTGACATCATTCTGGAGGTTCTGAAATGCAACCCTCAGCTTCATTATTACCAAGGCTACCACGACGTGGCCGTCACTCTGCTGCTGGTAGTCGGGGAGCGGATGGCCCTCGCCATGCTGGACACGCTGTCCAATCACCACCTCAGGTTTTTCTTTTCCAATGAATCCATTTATCTAGGCATGCTAGTAAAGTAAAAAAATGACGTTTATTATTTCAACTATTTTAGCAATAATTACTTTTCTCCATCTGTAGGGATTTCATGGATCCAACCATGGACAGCACCAAACACATTTTAAACTACCTGATGCCCATATTGGAACAAGTTGATAGAGAACTACACGACTTCATGATCAGGTAAACATTCACATGCACAAAATCAGATTAGAAAAAATAAGTAGCTATAAACAGCCTGGATTACATTGAAAAAATGTGCCATCAGATCGTAGTCTACTTTAGCAAGGATTACAGGATTACATTTTGGATTATGTAAATGCAAGAATGTATTTGTAAAATAACTGATATGTTCTTGAGTGAAGAAGTTACTCCGGTTGCCAGGTTTTTTTTAGTGGTTTAACTAATATTTGTTTTCTTTTTAATTGTGAGTTATGGGTAATTGAGCTTTAATTTTATTTTCATTAAAAATCAAAGATGAATATGTTGAGTAAGTGCTCCAATTGCGTTAGAAGTGCAAAGTCCTGCACTTCGCTGTGACTGTTTTTTGTAACGGTAACCCAATACAATCAAAAGTCTCCAGATTATATTCAAAAATATTTTTTAATCCAATGATTTGCTGTAGATGACAGAAAATCGACTGCATTTCAGAGTATTCTGTTTCTTTTGAAGTAATGTAATTAATTTCCACTAGATGGCACTAAAGTGTTTTTCTATAACCATTGAGCGTCATGGCGAGACGCATATTGAGTGTTTTGTTTGGGAATTGGAGTCCAACTGAAAATGCATTTAGTCTGGTCTCATTGGGGAGTTCCTGTGTCAGATGGTCCAACAGCTGTTTCAGTGGCTTTTCTCTCCCACCAAGATGTGCAACACATTTACCTCTATTTGTGAAAGGTAATCATCCACAAATGATTCATTCTCTTTTTGCAGTTAATTGAAGCAGCAAAATGAGAGCTTTTTTACTACACGACCAGGTGCTGTCAGAAGGTCCCAAATCCAAATCCACTACCCTACAGATATTCACAGAGTCAATAAATGGTCCTCACGGTATTTGGATATGTGCACTTGCCTCCGTGTGTCTGCAGAGCCTTCGCTGTCTTGTTGCCCGTTTATAATTGATGCTGCGCCGGCAACTTCCATATTTGCAAATTACCCGTCTCTACTCAAACACGAGCGCACACAAACCGAAAGAGCACAAAAACAAGACATTTCCCCGGCAGAGAAGGAAGGACTCCTCCTGACTTCAAAGTTCGGAACGCTCTGTTTTTGTGAGCACTTCCACTTCCCGCTTACCTTCCTTCTTATCTTTTGCTCCTTTCTTCTTTCCCTCATCCCTCTCCCATTTCATTTGATCTTTTTTATGTTCCCTGTCCTCTGCTCCCTCTCTTCACCCCTCCCCCTGCACATCACTCCATCCACTCCTTTTTGCTTGGGACTCCCTTCCTCCCTTTTCTTCTTCCCCACTCAATGTTCCTATCTAATATTTATTAACAACGAGTATCCAATCTACTCGAGACTCTGTCAAAAATATACAGAGTATTTATGTCAGCACATAACAAAGAATGACCGGGGAAGAGCGTTGGAGGTTTATGAACTATTATATCTATTTTTATTTCAAATTCATGAGGTCAAATAGCTGTGACCAAGGAAAAATCTTTTAAACCACTAATTTCTGAGTCTTTTACTATTGAAGTTTAGCTTCTACAAAATTAAAGAAAGTGCAAATGTTGAATGATGTCCTCCGCTTTGCTTTGTCATGTATGAAAAAATAACCCCGGTGATGTCATCCAGGTGAATGACCTCCTCCTATCAGGAAGCTTTTTAGGAACCACTGTAGCATATGTGGAGTTGTGGGGATTAATAGTCAGCGTGTCTCAACTTCACAGCTCAGACCATTATTTTCCCCGTTCTTTCTCTCGTGAGAACCTGTAGAAGTCTTTCCCTCTCGCTACGGTTGGCCGAATCCTACTAGTGCATTTTCTTCCTACACTTTAGCTGACAGACTAAGGATTGCCTAAAGTGTAAAGTTGCGCTCACCACCAGGTGTACCATCAGTTTTCAAAGTAATATCCTGCCTTCCGTGCAGCCGTTGCTTTCCATTTGTCTTTATTACAGTATGAAAGTCAACTCAGAGAGATTTGCTCTGTGATGGATCAGGATGTGATGAATCCACTAACTGATGAGACGATAGGAAACATGTATAGTCTTCCAATATATTTTTATTTTATAACTGCATTTTCATTTAATTCTGAACATAATTTCTGTTTTCTGTTAGTTTGTTACTCACCAAGATGCTCTTGTGAAGAAGATTGCTAAGATTTTCTGTTTGGATAAAGATTAGTGTTTTTTAAAATTTTATTTATAGCCCGCTCTGTGCGTTGTTTTTTTGTTTGTTGTTGTTTACATCGCTTCATGTGTTTCTTACAGATCCGAGGTGGGAACCATCTTCGCACTGTCCTGGCTCATCACATGGTACGGACACGTGCTGTCAGACTTCAAACACACCATGAGGCTCTACGACTTCTTCTTGGCGTCGCACCCGCTGATGCCCATCTACCTCGCCGCCACGGTGAGACGGCGTCTAAGCCAACAGGAAATGAACAAGAGGGCAACGACTTTGTATTTGTCAGTAATCCAGGAGGCTCACGTGTGAATACGCGCACACACACACACACACACACTCTCGTATCGCCGTGCCTACAGTCAGGCAGAGTACTGTGAAGTCAGTAGACTAGTTAATTAGATACCTCCTAATGAACAGATGAGAGACGGTGGAAGAGGAGGGATAGGGGGAGAGATAAAAGAGGAGCACGAGGGCTGCATCGGCAAACAGAATGACGAGGTGACTTGGAAAGTGAAGGAGATTACAAAGAAAAAGCATTTTTATACGTTTGACTCTTTGACTCTCTTGTAACACGTGTATGTGCAGGCGTGTTTGTGTACAAGCGATGTTTTGTGTGTGCAAGCATCCTGTTTTTAGGTGTTTTCTCATTTTAAACAGAAGGGTTTTGTGCATGTTGATTAGTGTGTACAGTTGAGCAAATTCTGTGTGTGTTTGTATGGGGGGGGGCAACAGAGTGAGAGGTCTGTTTTGAAGTGTGTGAAACAACAAAGCAGAATGTAGTTCATGTTTCCTCCAGCGCACCGTATGAGGGAGGAGCAGGTGGGGGGCGGGCGGAGGGGGGTTGTTAACTCTTCATCAACCTGCTCCACTGCTGAGCCTCACTTGTTGAGTCGCATCACAGCTCCAGTGGGTTTTAACCCCTTCCTCTCCTCCTCAGATCGTGCTGCACAGAGAGGAGGAGGTGAAGAAGACCGAGTGTGACATGGCCATGGTCCACCACCTCCTCTCACACATACCCCAGGACCTCCCATACCAACTTTTGATCGGTCGGGCCGAGGACCTGTTCCAGCAGTATCCGCCGCCTCTACTGGCCAAGCGGGCCACGCTGCAGTCTCACAAGAGGTGAGGGGACAAGAATCTGTGCGCCAACAGGGCAGGAAACGACGCCGATGTTACTGCTGTGCATTGACATGAGTTAAATGATGCGTCACGCTCTGTCATACTTCAGCAATGATCAAAAGGATTTTAATATATGTTGGATCTGTAAGGTGTAAATCCATCGGTTTTTACTATATAAATGTATCTGTATATCTGACTAAGCAAGTGAGGTAAACATACTCAAACTGTTTTTGCATCTAAAGCTGCAAAAAATGATTATTTGCATCATAACTTAATCAGTGAAATTATGTTTTTACGATTATTATGCTTAGGATAGTTTTTTTTAGACCGTGAGTGTAGAAGCATGCTGGACACGGGGAGAGAGGAGGGACAAGTGGGGTATGACAAAAGTCTGAGAGTCCCACCAGTGTCTCTACATGGCGTGCACCGTTACTATTCGGCTACAGTCAATTTGATATACCGAATATGCAACAATATAGAACAGTTTAAAACCGAAACACCCGATAAATTCTCTTCTAATGACTCGATTTAGAGTCAGAAAATGTTCTTATTGACCCGACTCTGCGCTTCCTCACTGACCGAATCCTTCTTCCATCTTTCTCTACCTCCGTTTTCCTTCAACCAGTCTGTCCATCAGCACCTTTCAGGCCTTTCAGTTATCCACCCTCCACCAGAGGCCCAACTCTGTTCTGCAACGCCTCACCAAAGAACGGGTCTCCAACTCCAGACACGGTAAGAAAAAAAAAATAGTAGCGCACACATGACATTTTGTGAGATGCTCTTTGAAGTTGGGTGAAAAAAAGAATCAACTCTGAGATTGTAAGAACAAACATTTAAATGACAATACAAAGAATTTGTTTGATGGATCCCCTGTTCCTCATATTTCTTTTGCGGACCATGAACACAACTCTTCACAACAAGGCAATAAATACGTCATTTCCCACGGATGTTTCTCCCCTTTGGGCCAATCAATAACATGTAAACAAATGATGTAGCACCCCCATCAGACCATTCTTAGAAAAGCCAGAACAGAGCAAAGAGATGCTTTTTTACCATTGTTTCTTCTGAAAATCTGGCCAACGGCGTCTGACATATTTTGCATTGCCTGTACATCACAGACAATATGTCTGTGATGTACAGGCAATGTAAAATACGCTTTTAAAATCTCCTCAGGCCAAACAATGCAATATTGGAATGAGTGCACATTATTCCCTGCAGTTTCATCAGAATTCAATTAGCGGCATCTAAGATGAAGTGTGTTACAGCCATAAGGAGCACCGTCTAATTTGACTGTGGCAGACAATGAACGGGAGTCTGTAAGAGACAACCTGCTGTCTAAATGTCACACAACGGATTATTATAGCTGCCGATTGATTAAAGTGAGAGTGTTGCTGATCAGAAATCATGGAGCCAAATTAGTTGTTTACTGCTTCTGCCCCCTCCATGTCTCTCCTCCCTGTGTTTTTACATCCCTTCCCCTAACTTTCCCAGCTAACATTATGCAAGTTGATCCTCCCTTTGATTCAGCTTCCAATGTCCCAGCTTCTCGTGACCCCACCTCTCTGTCTGACCCCCCCCCCCCCCTCCTCCCTCCTTGTTCTGTGCTCGCAGCCTCTCGACACTCCGGTCAGGACGCAGCTCCGCCCCGAGACCGAGGCCAGCGGTGGGGGAGCGGCGACAGGATGGTGAAGATGGCAGTGTGGGGGCTCTCCGCCACGCTCGGGGTGGCCGTGTTCGCCGTGGCTCAGACGGCCTTGGGCTGGGGACCCGAGGTGTTACAGCAACTGTTCTGACGTGGCGGTGGGGGATGTGGACTGACGCGTGGTGACAGCAGACACACGTCGGCTCCTAAACCCGTAGAGTCACTCCTATAGACAAAGACTTGAAGCGCCTCCCTCCTGCTGAGAGGAATCCTCGGACAAAAACAGGACTAGGTCCTTTATCTTGCCAAACAGGTTGTTGCTACACAACCATTACGAACATATGTACACCGCCAGAGTACCACATTTGAGCTCCGACCGACTCTGAATGGGCCTCCGACCGGTTGGGCCCAGCTCACTTTTATTTTTCCAAATGACCTCAAATGGCCAACCTGTTTGGCAAAAAACAACCACGGGCATGCAAAATGACCGAGGAGAGACTCTAATGCCTTTCAGTCGTTATGCGACTGCTCCCGTGTAGGGGGTGCGGTGGGCTCGAACGTGTTTTAGCCCAAGGGCCCATTGTCTCATTATCCATCCGAGACACGTGTCTCTGTGCGTTTGTTGTTGGCTGATCATTTTGCTGATAAGTCTTTCTCAGATGGTCATGCTTGTCTCGCTGTGTTTCTGGAGATGGTGTTTCACGGCCCCCGTTGGCTCAGCAGTCGTATCTGAGAGCTAAAAGTGCCCGTAGCCAGCGCGATGACACAGGAATACAAATTATTAAAGAGTGGTGTTTTCTGCTGAAAGCTTCCAGTTATGAGTGAAGAAAGAGAGCGGGAGAGAAATGGGAAAGATGGCGGGAGAGATTTTGCCTGTAAGCCACTTGTATTAATTGCTTTACTGCAGGTGTCAGCGAGTTACATTAACAGTAGAGTTCCCTGCTGCCCAAAATGTGAACATTATACACAGTTAGCACTCTGCACTGAATGCACACAGTAGGTCCTTTTCAGATGCATTGAGGCTTAAGATGCAGGAGGCAATGGAATACATTTACATCTGTTTTTTGTGTGTTTTCTGTGGCAGTTTTCTGGATGTTGTGGCCTCGCACTGCTGAATGAATTTTCGGAAAACACCAGTACTTTTACGTTCCTGAAATATTTATCAGGCTTGCCCCAACATGCACTCTGAACAGCCATCAATAGAACTACAGTGCACTACAGAACACTCAGTTCTTCTGCATCATATTTCTCTCCAGCATTTTACAGCTAAAGTGATTATTTTAACATTTGTGAGAAATTGTGTTTTATTTCACACAGCCGGTAGATGTTGTTGCCACAAACGTAATCACTGACTTTTGGCGCCTGAATAGTGATTATTAATAATACAGGCAGTTTCCAACTGGGGTAGATATATATGAAACGGGGGGGTTCTCCAAACAGCGATGTGTGCTCTGTGTGTCGACTTTGATTCTGCAATATTTATCAGCTTTCTACTAGCATGTTGCCGAGTTGCATCTAACACAAATGAACCTGGGTCACAACACTCTCAAACGCCCCCCCCCCTCCCCCCTTCCATCTCCCCCCCCCCCCCCCCTATCTCGCGCATTTGATAAAGTTTCTGGCACTGTTCAGAAAACGACAATAGCTGTCATTTCTTTGGACCGTCAATAAGTCCATCAATAGTGCGTAGCTCCGGTTTCAGTTCAGACACCCGGCCCGTCGTAACCTGTGCTGCTTGTTTGCAAAGCCTCTGCATGTTCCACTTTTCAGTCTGACACGCTGTGCGTCGTGTAATACATGACACATGTGCATGTCGGATGTGATTAAAGCGTGCGTGTGTGCGTGCTTTAGAGAAAAATTGTTGGATTTAATGGGATTTTCTGAATGGGTATTTTAAACAGATATGTGGGGCAAGAGAAAATTATGGTTTGCAATCAAAATTCTGAGAATTTTTACTGCCTAAACATATTTTATTAATTTAAAAATAACGGTTTTTGCATGTAGCTTTGCTTTGCACTTAAGACAGAAATATGCAGGGTAAACACCTTTGACTGTGATCTTCCAACGTCAAGGTGCTACTGAGTAATTGTATATTTATTGCCATGTAGACACACACACACACACACACACACACAGACACTCATGCAGGGAGAGAGTGGTGGCTTTGCCAGATCATAATGAGGATTTAATTCCTGCCCGTGGCTGTTGGCGTGCTAAAGACTCTTTCTCCTTTTCTTCTTTTCTTACATTCACACACACTTAAACACCAACACCTGCTCTGACCGTAGTCTGGCAGAGGCCTCGGATGAAAAATGATTGAAGCATGTTTGTTTTCAATGAAACCAACCAAAATTGTAAAGAAAGATGATGCCTAAGGCCATGTTCAAAGTTAAAACCCCAAAACTGTTTGTATTCCGATTTAGGGCCATGAAATTCTTGAGAATATAGTTAGTCTTTTCGTAAAAGAGACATCATTTTATTTAACTGTACTGCAATTATTCAATCTTGTTAGCTTTTTTTTTTTATAGTTCACATTCAAGTTTAGTTGCATTGTAATACTTAGTTGGTGTTCAAAAATGCTCAAATGAAATAAAACAAAATACCTTAATAGCAGACAACAATAAAAAGAGGAGTAGGAGTTATTGCAATAGCTAAATGTCACTCTTTAAATCCCAAAAACTTGACTTTGATGCCAAATGATGAACTCCGTGTGGTCTGATGAAGAGTCTGAAGTGGAACCTGTGAGCTTGTGTCTCGCCTTTCAAGGCCTCTCTGTCCACACGTCTGAATCTCCCAAATGCTTTACAGATAATAATGTCTCTAGCCCATAATAACCTGTGTGTGTGTGTGTGCATATATCATTTCTATGGGCTTTTAATGCATGTATTATCGCTACCAAACACTTGGTACATATCAGGTTACTTGTACTGCAGTTCTACTCAGACATGCGTTTGACATGCATATGAAGATAATTCTGTCAACGAGGTAAAAACAATAAATAAACAATAAAGTGAACACTTCTGGTGTGAAAGTTATTCTGCTTTAAACAAAAAGTGTTGCAATCCCCAAAAAACAGTTAATGCTTCCAATTCAGAGGATGTCCAAACCATCACACATGTATGCTCAATTATGTGTTTTAGTGCCTAAACAATTAGTTGAGGAATAGAAATTGAATGAACTGGTGCTTTGATGATTCATTGTTGAGGAGAAATGGTTGCAGCTTCTAAAATGTGGTGGTTTCTTTTTTCTTCTTTTTTGATGGTTTTAAAGTCTTTTGAGTTTGGGTTGTTCAGACAAAACTCAACATTTTAATACACCTTGAAATCTGGTAAATTATAACGGCCTTTTGTTTGAAATTTACTTTGCTTGTACAGCGTTGTCATGTGAAGAATTCAGCTGCTGTTTTTCTCGATTATACGCCGTACTAAAGGGAATTCCTGTCTTCCTCGGTCTCTATTTGCACTGTACAGCTGTTGCTTTTTCATATGCTGTTGGCCTCCTTCGAGAAATTAGGTCAGAAATGTGTTTCTCTTTTTTTGTGTGTGTGTGTGTGTGTGTGTGTGTGTGTGTGTGTGTGTGTGTGTGTGTGTGTTTGGGGAGGACGAGGCTGCGCATCTGTCCATCTGACCTCCAGGGAGACGACCGGAGATAGAAATCACCATCACAGACACGGCGAGGCAGAGAGGCGAGGGTTAAAGAGGGGTGAAATGAGGCAAAGATTTATACTGTAGAAAAAGACATCTGGTGGACGTGTTCTGAGGCAGCCGAGGTCCTCGAGAACGCGTATTTAAGCGCGCCCCCGTGAGGATTTCTAATGAGCTGTACTGCAAGTGAGTGCGGGTCGGATCACAGTTGATGATCAGCGGAGCAGATGTGAGGAGTGGTTTGAATTTATGCACTGAGCTGTTTGGGGGAAGTTACGGCCCGTAATTTAGACACTAATTGACGTCCGCGCTCTCTCAACACACTTTTCTCTGAACGCTTGAGCTCTTTCTGTAGAAGAAACCTTTTGATTGTGACATTCTGTGGGGTTGCGTAAGCCCAACAACAATCTGTGCGTGTTTGTGTTTGCTTCAGCTCTGAGCACACAGCTGAAAAACGCAAAGGAACAGAGTAGAGTTTGGAAAAGAAAGTTGCGTATGTGTGTGTAAGTGTGTGTACTTGCGTGTGTGTGTGTGTGTGAGAGAGAAGAATTGTGGCACTGGGGACAACAGCTGCTCCAGGGGTCTGTCTCATGCTTTTTTCCCTGGTGACACAAACGCACACACACACACACACACACAAATGTATTTACACAACAAGTGCCCCCAATGAGCAACAGTAGCACCTCGACTTTCACCGCTGACATTTATTTTAATAAGTTCATTGGTCTCCGCTGTACAAACAAAATAAGCTCTGTGTTGCCTTTTTTAGTGTTGTTAATTGATCGAGTTGATCGTGTCCCTGTGAGTTGTGACTCTGGAGCTGTGCCAAGCCGTTCATTAATCGACTACGTGTTGATGTTTCACAAATGTAGGAAAATTTGTGTTAAGAAGAAAAGTGACATCTAGGATGGTCGCAGTGCACTAAATTCTGAATAACTGATATGTGTCATAATTTCCATAATTTTTTTTCTTCTCAAGAAACTGAGAAAAAAGTGACCAAAACAATAGCGTTGTGCCTTCAGGTCTCAGATCAACCAACCATAGTGTTGCAGTCACTTTAACATTGTGACCGCATCACATTTAACTTACAGTGAAGCACAATCAGAGACGCGCCTGCAGGCCACACATCAAACTCTTTTTGTCTGCAGCCCCTTTACCTCCCGCTCTAGTCCTCCCTTCCCTCTGTCATGGATCAGAGGACATGTCCCAAAGTGCTTTGCAGGCAACACGCGTGCAGCATGTCCCTGCATGCTGATGTGACTTTAAAGGTTTGCAGCAACCTCGTGAGGTGGACTGTGTGAAGGCTCACCGCTGGTTGTGTGGCCGTTCACGCTCGGACAATGTGGGTGAATATTTTAAACGGAGCAACGTTCCATGTTACCTTGAGCGCTGGTGGGAATAGATGTTCAATTCTTCCAGACTGGTGAAACAGCCCAGATGGGAAATGTTTATCTATCATATCAGAGGCTTAAAATTAGTGTTTGTGGGTAATTATCATAGGAGAGTCGTAACCATTGAAACAAATACACGTAAATGGGTAATTTTACAAAAACGTTATTTAAACAACCTTCAAATCTACCCGAATCATTTTTTTTAAAGCAAGTTGACCGGAAACCTGTTCAAATTCTACATGCGAACAAATAGCCAAAAGCTAAGCTATTTAAATAAATGACCATGTTTGCATTCAAAGCTGCCTTCCACGAGCGGAATGAATTTTTGCTTTTAATATTTTTTTTTATATTCAAGAAAAATATCTGCATATAATTATACAAATATAAATGTCAAAATACTCACGTGATTGTGCAAAGTGACACTTTTAAAGTTGGATGTGTCTCACTCTTTTTAATCTGCAGCAAAGCCCAGTCACATCACTGTGAATCTGTGATAACCCCGGGGCCTCATTAGCCTAAACCAGGCCTGGTCCATACAGCTCTGTTAATACCGGATACTCGGTGGGTTTGCGGGTTGTCCTCGTGGACACTTGGGACTCCTGTGCCTTTCACACATGACCTCTTGTCCTTTTTGGTCCCATCGCTCAAATTGGTCTCCACCTCTGCTGACCTCACCTCTGTTTCCATGGACAACAGAGGCGTCAAAAAGTGCCCCGTTGAGTCTCGTGTCTCTCTGAGCCGGCTGAGACAGTTTAGCTTCGAGGTTTAATGGCCTTCACGTGCGCCTTTAGGCAACCGGTTTGAAAGTGTTGAAAAGATCCTTTCAGAAAGTCTGTAAGGGGGGGCCGGTCTGTGACACCCACCTTTTATTTGATGCAAACCTGTCAAGGGATCTGACCGGGTGCAGGTATTTTTTACCCCCATTTCCTCACATGTTTTTGTACCCTCTTTATTGATGTCTTTCATTCACGAATGCTTACATTTGATCACTTCACTCCTCACTACAACAACCAACTTCCCGACTCACTTTCAAAAGGAGCCGAGTTTTCATTATCAAGGACGCTCGCACACGGTGGGAATTGGACGTATGATTCCAGACTGAAAATACAGTAAATGATAAATGAGGCCAGCAAAGATTAAGGATAACAATTGCAAAACAAGGTTCCATTGTATCTCCACAAAAACTGTAATTGTGGCCGTGTGGAGAAGGATTTGACCGTAGGAAATATTCACTTTTCTTGTATCAAATTAGTTTAGCTTACATTAGTGTTACTCACCAAAACGTGTAGGTTCTTAAGGTCTAACAAACGTGTGGAATTTCCCATTTCTTTCTTGGACCTGCACAAAGTTAAACAATAATATTTTAGGTATTAAAATCATTGGATTGTTTTTGTCCATCTTCCCTGGTTTGCAGTGTTGCTCTCGCTGTCTTTGCTGACACATTGTGGAACATCACCATCACGTATTGATAAATGGTGTAGAGTTAAACCTTGTGTATCGCGCACCAGTACGCGGGTGCATCCTTGTGTGTTTGAGATGAACACAA